ACAAAAATGATTAATAATTGCTTATCAATTGTTACCATATTCGCAAGAAATTCAAAGCCATAAACTTCATCATTCTATTCACACAACTGCAAGCGTGGGGTCCTCCAAGGAGATTCGTTGAGGCCAGCTCTTATCTAATCTTTGCATTACCAACAATAAAATTCAATGTAATACAAGTTGATAAATTCGAACAGTCGGGCTTAATAATAAATCTTCCTATTGATCAAACCAGGAAATTGCACCACAATAAAACCAAAACTTACTATGTTTAACGATAGTTACATAAACCACATTCAGGGAATTGCCCCACAGTAAAACCAAAAACTTGCTATGTTTAACGATCGTACATAAACCACATTCAGGGAATTGCCCCACAGTAAAACCAAAACCTTGCTCATGTTTAACGATCGTGCTCACATAAACCACATAGGATAGCCCCACAGTAACAAACCAAAACTTGCATGGTTTAACGATAGTTACATAAACGATTAGGAAACATAAACCTTTATCATGGCTCAGTTCGGAGCAATATTTTATGGCTGGGCAAAATTTAAAATACCCGGCTAAAGTCATTACACACGAAACATAGAGCATTAAACGATTAAGCTGAAATGTTTCAATTTCCACCAAAACCGCCTTCTTGACCCATTGAGACCCCGAGCTACTTCACCGAGTTATCACATTCTGCTACTGTGCAGAAATTCTTTTATTTCGTTTAAAAAACGAATGCTTGATGCGTACATAATTCTAAAAGATTATATGAATAATACCTTAAATTTCATTAAATAATGAAACTCAACAATGAAACAAGGGACTATGATTTAAAGCATTGCCTTCTGTTTGCATAAAACCTTTTTTACGTCTGATGAAGTGCAAGGAAGTTTGAAGAGATTAAGGGAAGACTTGCCCTTTATATTGTTTATTTTTAACATCATCAAAAGCTTTGAGACGAAACGAAGAAAGGGTCGGAATAATTTCAAAAACTGGAATGCAGCTGTTAAACAAGCATAAAATATTTAACTGTAAGAGGCATACAGTTGCTGTTCACTGCAAGAGAGTAAATTGTCATCTCCTTTATCTTATATCATAAAAAATGTTCCGACCTATATTTAATATAAAGCCTTGTGGTAATTGTTATTATATTTGACTACTGCAAAAGTCGTCCGATGTTAGCTAAAACAAAAGAAAAATGAAAGATTGGTGATATATTCGCAAAATATCAATCAGATGTTTCCAAGTATTTGTTTGCCTGGAACAAATTCTTGCAAATTTGAACGCCATCCGTGATTATACAATACAAAACTTGGTAGTACCAATCAGGAAGGCCAGATCACATTTTGAAGTAGGGGGGGGGGGGGCTATAGACAAATTGATATAGTACCGTTACCTTTGATGTCACTACCTGTATATCAATGTTCCGAAGTAATGTGAGGGGGCTAAAGGCCCCCTCCCCTGACTCCCGCTCCAGCGTGCCTGCGAATTTTACCATTGGATGAATTTTCAACACTAGGGTCCTAGGAAATTGTTTCAAACCATGACCTGACTTAAATAACTGTTTCATTGATTTCTTATTGAATTTCAAATTTTCCATCGAATAATGTTTTAGCTGAGGAAACTTTTAACAAAAATTCAGCATCTCTATTTATTCCTAATGAATAAGATTAGTCAAGATTCAGAACATGGTCAACCTTTGTGACTATGTTTAGAATTTTTCCTAGTAAACACCATATCTACAATGTGTAAGTATTAACAAATATGAATTTCTAATGAGTTATGCAACCACTTTAGAAACAACATAATGTTAGTAAATAAGGTTACTTTGTGCAAATTCCTATTATCCTTGTTATTATTTCTCGTTAAATCCAGGTTAACCGAGAAATAACAATACTCAAGAACGTCGACTTCTTTCCCTGATAAATCTAAAAATAATAATAGGAATGGACAAAGTAATCTTCCCGTTGTTTCTTAGAATGATTAAACACGTTTAGCCCTTCTCCCTTCATTCTGACTAACAGAAATTCGTCACTTAAAATACTTTCAAAGTATTTTCTTTTCTCCTGTTCAATCAGGTAGTCTCTAATGTTCCTTCGACCTCAAGCCGTTGAGACAAAGATGATGATGCTCTTATATGTGCCATGACCATAGAAGATTTCGGTGTTAATTGTCCTCTGAATTCCTCGTCCAAGGCTTTCATGGAAAAACTGGAACGCTCAGAGACTGTAATAGTGCGCATCTTTCTTGGAACTGCAGAAAACGTGGAAGTTAACGTCTCACTTTGACGCGAATTATCACCACTTCTTTTGAACATTTTCTTCAAAGCACTACGATATTGCTCACTGAATAATGCGTACAAGAGTGGATCAGCTGCCGTATTAAAACTGGCAACTAAGATAGTGACACGTATAACACGCATACGCTGATAATCGCCTTCGTAGTTATCATTGAACACGTTTGTTGAGCGCGATAGTAGCCAGTAAATGAAAAATGGTGTCCAGCATATACAAAACACCACCAATAACCATGCCAGTAAACGGATTGTCTTTTTACGCGAGTAATCTGTTTGCCGACAAATAGAAACATCTGAAACTCTTGTTTTAAGGCTCTTTATTGTTGCTATAAATGTGTATAAAAGCACAGCTAAGGGAACTACGAGTGCCAAAAACGATGTAAACAGGGAATAGAGCATACCATTGATTGCTTCTGGCCATTCTCTTTGGCAAACACCCCATTCCTTCTTGTAAGTGAAAGAAAAGATGTTCGGTGAGACCGAGACGATACCCAGCAGCCATGCAAATATAGAAGTAATCTTTACAGTTCTCTTGCTTTGCTGCCACTCAAAGCGAAATGGATGATTTATACAGATATAACGGTTTATAGATATTGTGGTTAGCGTGAACAGCGAAACAAAGGTACATACAAAAAACGGTGACAGTCCTACTGTAAAATTGCATAGAATTTGACCTGTTAAGGGACTAGCATTCACTCCACGTATGTCGATGAAGACGTATGGGTAAAGGCTGATGTCTGCTAGAAAGTCTGCTGCTGCCAGGTTTGCTAACAGCAAATTAAATGGAGTACGATCCACCTTTTTTGTTGATATAAGTGAAAAAACTAGGCCATTACCGACAATACCTATCAGAGTACAAATGCAGTAAGCAAGACGAATGAAGACTTCAACTGTATCTGGGAATACCTCTAGAAATTCTGTCTTTGTCAGATTTCTTTGCAGTGTTGTATTATTATGCAAGGCCATTGCCATGTCGAAAATCTGCTGCTATTCCGATGACTGTGTTGTCAGCGCAAAGTGCAGTAGCTATATATAACCTGACTGATTGCAAACCATTTATATAAGCATTTTTGCCATTACGACAGTCATGTACGAGCAGGTTGTTACACGGAGCTGCGTTGTCTACTATGTAGACAAAATCATCAAGATCAGTTTATCAATGCTAAGTAAAAGAGAAATATATAATCTGTAATGTACAAACACTCATTCTCAAAGATCTACGGTAACAAGAATGTCGGCAAAAAATCAGCTCCAGATTAACAAGGCAAAGCAGAGCAGCATGATAAAGTGCCTTTTTCTGCAAATCTCAATGTTGAAGCATCATGTAAACCAATGCAATCGGCTTAAAATCTTGTCTTTTTGTGGCGAATTCGAAGAACTGGAACCTTGATCACAACGACTGGAATACCGTTGACTTGCTCAGCAACTTTTATCTACGGAAAAATGCAAATTCACCTGAACCGTTTCAAGGAATCAAATGTTCTAAGCAATGATGGAATGAGCAGTACTTTAATCAAATATGACAGCTGCAGGCTGTTTTATTCACACTATTCCTGGCAAGCAATGCAATAAGCATTTACAGCCGCTGAATTAATGGACCCTTGTGCAAGTACTTTTATTCAGACGAGCTGTCGATATGAAATTACAACGAATCTTGACGTGTCGCGAAAACTCCGCCACGTTTTGAATGATATCTTCTAAATTTAGATATGCCTTTGTACGTTACCAACATAGTATCATTTAAAAATTTATTGAATTTATGACAAAAAAAGAATACTTTTGACGTAAAGGTATCCTTAATGGTATCTTTAGACAGCCTGCTAAATGCAGGTGTACAAAGATTGATAATTTCCATACTTCCTGACGTTTTTTCTTATGAAAGAACGTAGCGAATACGTAATACAGGTAACATTAACATCAGCTTCAGAATGGCATTGCGAAAGATTTTAGCAGATAAATAGAGCATTTTATAGAAAGTTACGACATTTCGCTAAATAGGAAAGCAAAAGCAGTTATAGGCTGGAGATCTCGACAACAGCATCTGGCAGAAAGTCGTTTAAATCTGCCAATTGCTTTGCTATCAGGAAATATTTGCTGACATGAACAAAAATTTCTTGAATAACCTATTAGTATTGTTCTAGGATGTAGAGGGTTTATTGAGAATGAAAGAAAACCCCAGTGCATCCAAAGCGACTTTCCGCAGTTTTCAGAGCCAGAAATACTTCCACAAAATGTTTGTTAAATTAAAAGTCAACTGAATAATTGATCCAAAATTTTCAAAAATTATAATGGAATGTTCGAATTTGTGCCTTATTGAACTCATTGTCTTATTTGCGCACCATTGGCCGATTAAACAATAGCTTAATCAGACAACTGCAAAAGCTATTGGGTGATCTGCAATCAATTGCCTTCGCATGTGGTGAAATACTTTTGACTTAGTAGTGTATGATATAAAGTTCAAGTAAAACCAGTTAAAAACCTTAAAACAAATTATTCTGAATATTACCATTAGTTAATTTATATTTGCCTAGTCTAATAAATCGTCGTGAGGCTGTGAAGAGAAGCGGCGATACACATGACGAATAGAACGAATAAATTTTACCAGCTCTCTCTACCCCTATCCTCCCACTCCCCTTAATTTGGGCATAAATACTTCAGCAACCGGGATATGGGCATCATATTAAAGAGAGGGTGGTGCAAATTTCCGGCATTTGTCTTTTAAAGACTGTATGCCGGTAAGTCTAATTCGGTGATATTCTAAGTTGATTTGTCTGTTAGTCATTTGTGACTTTAAGTTGGGTGTGATTGTAAGTTGAATATGATTGTAAGTTGTGTATGACTTCTAGTCAGGTTTGTCTGTAAGTTGTGTGAAAACTGTAAGTTGGATATGATTGTAAGTCGTGTGTGACTTTAAGTTTGGTGTGACTTCAAGCTGTAAGTTGGGTGTGACTGTAAGTCGTGGGTGACTTTAAGTTGGATGTGATTGTAAGTTATGTGTAACTGTAAGTTGGAAATGGTTGTAAGTTGTGCGTGACTTTGAGTCAGGTTTGAATGTTAGTTATTTCTAACTGTAAGTTGGATAATAATTCAAAGTTGTGCGTGACTTGGAATCAGGTTTGATTGTAAGTTACTGTAAACAGAGTTAAAATATAAATGATGTAAGTTGTATCGAAATTGTAAGTGATTTCAAAGATACTGTAAAATCAGAGCAGAAACTTCGAATATTTGTGGTTTGCCTTTTCTGGAGATGTCTTATTGAGGTTTGCTTAGCCAGATGACCTAAAACTAAGAAACCTTCATATGGAAAGTCTTGAGTTGGTGAAAACACGTCCCATTTGTTTAAAGATTCCTTTCCTAATTCCATTTACTTACACAATAGAAATAAAATCCTTTAAAATGCATGCTATTATAACACAGGTCAGGCGAGAAACCTCTGATACAGATCAGAGCTTTGTTTTCTGTACAGCAGTTGTGATGTCATCTTGGAGGTACAGAGGCATTACATTCTTTTTTTTATAAGAACAATTTTTTAAGAACACGAGCCTCAAAATTGGTCAAATGTTAAAAACAAATTTAAAACAAGCTGAGGCTGAGCTTCTGCAAAATGCAATTTGCAAAATGCAACGTTTTTCTCAAAATCGAGGATTTTTAGCGATGTGTGGGTGCTTTTTCGTCGAATATTCAAACTTTTCAGCAAATGAAAGTTGTCTCACTCACTTTGTTGGCAAATGAGGCCTGAACACCTCCCTAGAGCGAAAAAGCTAGCACTCGCACTGCTTACACCTTATTAGATTAAGAACAAATTAAAAACAATCCAGCCTCAGATTTTCGAAAAAATTAAGAACAGTCAGCCTGAACTTAAATTTACTGGTTCTTTTGAAAAAAAGAGTGTACATTACCTAATCATTTCTGTCAGCCGGCAGATGTACGAGTTTAGTTTGGGCAATTGATATCGATCAGTTCCAGTTATAAGGAAAAATCCCTTCTTGTTAGAAATATGGCATGAAAAACTAGCAACTATCTGTATCATCAGTGTTGTCAGTGATACAGGCAATTCGCCTTGTGATCAAATCGAGAGAATGAATAAAATATTATCACAAATTAAGGATAAAATATTATCGCAACACATCAGGCGTTGCAAAGATATTTCTTTCCACTGGTTTTCTATAAGGAACCTTAGATGTTTCGATTCTCTAAAAATGATCTCGCTAACGGCGTTTCTGGAGTCAAAATCTGGCTCAGATAACATTCCTGAAAGACAAGTTGTGTTTTACAGTGTCTTGGATTCATGCTAAAGAACGTAAATTACTTAAAAATGCCTTCCCGTTTGATTATTCCATGTGCTTGCTATCAAAAACGTAAGTTACACATTAATATATTAATCGAAGCTCCGGATATGTGGAATTGCAATTTAAACCTAACTCAGTGTGATTTATCCGTGTTATTGCTAAGAAAAAGATCAAAAAACATGTTTTTCATCGTCTACTCAAAATAGCCACATACTGTACCATCGTTTGACAAACAAGCTCGAGAAGATTATTCCTTTTATCAAAAATAACTCTACCAACTGTTTAATTTTATATGAGACAAGCATATATTCAAATCATTAGCTGGATTTAGAAAAAAAGAAACTGAATATGATTGGATTTGCAAGCAAAAGAATTGCCAGCTCGAGGGTACGGACTCTCAATGTTGTTGATAAGCGCAACAGTATCGAATGAGCATAACAATGAAACTTCGAACTTACCGAAAAACAGCATTCAACAGCTAGCTCTATCTATTCTCACCGCCCTTCCAAAAAAGGTCTGTATTAAAGCATCTAACATGTAATCGGTGAAATGCCACCTTGTCATATATCTTTGATAAAAACGTCTAGTGAGTTCAGATGTTGTAGATCGTCGTTTAGGCTTAACGCGAACAGAATTCTTCATGCACCATTGGCTTTCCTAATGAATAGAACAGGAATCTAGGCCAACGATTCAAAACAAGATAAAAATCAATAATAGAGATTTTCTGAGGTTGGCTATTAGCGGTATGTATATTGTATGCAAAACAAAGAGAAGATTTAAAATTATATTTGCTGCACCCTGGCTACATAACAAATAAATTTGCTCCCCTACACCTTTTTTAAAGAATAGGATGTCAGAAAATCAATCTTCTCGTGACTTGTAAACTTTTGGGCAAAACAATATAGCCTAATGAATTAGTAGATTAGTTTACCACGCAGCTTGCTAAAACATTTTCTATCATTCAAGCTGCAACCATATGTCTTTACATTGTCCAGTTTACTTTGGGTTGAGGCAAGACAGTTTTCCTTTCAATCGCTTTGGGAACTCTACTATGGGAACTGGGAACTCTGGGAACAAATACCGCGTTTTAAAAAATCTTCAAACTTTCTATTTTTCCTAATCCATCTGTCTGTAAATATATTTATCAATAGCAAGTAGAGCCCTAGTTTCGATCAGAATAAAGATAAGGTTGATTTATTACTTTCGAAAATGAATGAAAATACCGAAACGGTGTTCAATAGTTGATATTGTTCTTTTTCCAAGATTAACAGACTAAAAATTGAGGTTTTGTTAGTAACAACATATTAGTGTTGACGTGCTGACAACCATTTTAATATAACAGTCAATGGCAAATGATACTTGAAATTTTGCCAGGCAAAAATTGCATACGTCGCTGTCACATAGCAGTTTGTACCCTCGAAGTCTGAGTCTCAACGTTAGAGTTCAAAAGTGATAACGTCACAAAAACTATTTTTAGAATTTGAATCACATGCCCCGAAAGAGTTTTAAACGTTTTATTCAGTTGCAGCTTCTATATGCAGTTCAGTTGTATACAGTTACCTGCATCGGGTTAGCCGGTTGGCACTTCCTTCAGCTAGCAGGTGAATAACATTACAGTAAAATTTGTTAATCAATGTGCAGTTTTTAACGCACAACACTGCAGTTAAAATTACTACAATAAATACATGGTTTCTTAGCGACAACGCAGAAGAATAGGAACGGTATGTGACGTATGCGGACACGCAGAAGAATCGGAATGGAATGTCACGTATGCGAACACGCAAAATAATCGGAACAGTTTGTCACGTATGCTGACACGCAAAGAATCGCAACCGTATGTCACGTATGCGGACACGCAGAAGAATCGCAACCGTATGTCACGTATGGGGACAGGCAAATAATCAAAACATTATGTCATGTATGGGGGCACGCAAAATAATCGGAACAGTATACGGACACGCAGAAGAATCGGAACCGTATGTCACGTATGGGGACACGAAAATAATCGAAACATTATGTCATGTATGGGGGCACGCAAAATAATCGGAACAGTGTGTCACGTATACGGACACGCAAAAGAATCGGAACTGTATGTCACGTATGTCTCACGTGCCTGGCAAGATACTCTACAACTCTATAACCTGGGTGCCAGAGCCTCAGAGAGTCAAAAGATGAAGCACAGGGAGAAGAAAATGCGAAGGAGAATGGAAGAGGAAAGGGGTTCGCAATTCCTTCCACCGTTCTTCATCCTTTGACTCTCTGAGGCTCTGGCACCCAGGGTACCAACTCTAAATAACTTGTTTACTATCATTAGTTATTGTTACTATTATTATATTTTCATAGAAGTACCCTATTTGGAAATTTCGAAAAAGATTCTTTCGCTTGAATAAAGTGTCCCTTCCTGCTACCTCCCTGCTACCAAATATGGCTTCCTCAAACTTCGAAATTCTTCAAAGTCATCTTTTATCTCTGTAGAAGTAAAACCTATCGCAATGGGAGACTGCGGTAAACTAGGGTGTGGTTCAGGCTTAAATTGAAAAAGCCTCCGTAATGACAGCTTGCTTGAGCCATTAGCAAAACCTTTACGCACTAAAATCTCTTTGTGTGAAAACCTCTTCGCGCGAAAGATTTTGATCAACGAGGCAAGCTAGATCAAAAAGAGCAGATCAAAAAGAGCAAACAGGCTAAAGAATTTTAAATTCCTTCTTTGTGTTTCAACAGCTTTGTTTGTTAGTTTGAGCTAAATAAGGGTTATTGGTCGAAGATTGGATCTTTGTTGACACAAAGACTAGAAAAATGTGCAACACCTACTGAGGAAATGATTAAACAGTTGCCTTGTGATCCTTTGTAGTTGCAGTTTAAAGCTATCTTCTTCTTCACACCAAGCTCAAATATCGCACTGAAGCATGTATAGTTCAATCAATACGGCATTGAGCAAAATACTACAGACCAGTAAGCAGTAATATTCAAAACTTATGTGCCTCTAATGATTTTACAGTCTCTGTAAGGTCGACAAGAAATGGGCACAATTGATTAAAACCTCTGTTGCTAACTAGACAAGTTCAGATAATATGAACTTTCACGAGAAAGCAAATATTTTAACTGAAAATCGAAATTCTGAACCGTCAAGGGTTGCCCTTAATTTAAATTTTCCCAAGGACTGTGTTGATATCAAATACATACCGAAAAACACCCGTGCTGTAAGGGAGGATTGGTTTGCAAAAGGAAAGTTTTGTGCTATGTTGTCATATTCCCCCTTTGAATCTCGAATTCTTCCTTCACTGTGCGTATATAAACATGTGAATTTTTCACGTAAAATAGTCTTTGGGAACGTATACCTCTATAGATATATATCTAGAGGAACAAATTGTACGCGTTTAAAAACACTTGCATTACCAGGAACTGGACGTGACAGTAGGGCATCAAGTTGTTAATTTAAAACGTGGTTTTCTGTTTCTAGGACACTACAAGGGACCAGAGCTTATCATCAAGATTTCCAATTAAAATTTAATACTCATTTTTAAGACTCATTTTTTCTCCTGGCCTCCAATCTGAAAACTCAGGCCGCTTTCTCCTTGCTGTTTGCTGTTGTGCATTTCATGATGTGAATTTTCTAACATCCAACACTCATTTCATATTACAGTATAATCTGGTTATGACGTACTTTAAGGGACCAGCGTATTAAGTACATTATATCCGAAGTATGTTGTAACGAGGGTAAGTAAAATTGACTTAAACCAAGCACATCTTTTGCCGGGACCAAGCACACCAGTACGTTATATCCGAAAGTACGTAATGACTGAGTACGTTATAACGGGATTCTACTGTAACACCGAACTTGTATTTTGCATTCAATTCCATTATTCTACAGCAAGTCTCAATTTATGGAGAAACATGAAATGCAGTAACGTTGCAAAATTTACCCAGGGTTATAATTTTTCTCACATGAATTTTCTTCAAGAGCCAGCACATATCATTTTAAATTGCAGACAATTTCCTCTTTAATCTTACTAGGGCAGGTTTTTATGTAAACATTGGTATGCCATAGTTGAATATCAACGATGCCCTCGTCGTTTTTTATACATTAAGAGATAGAAAGGAAAATGAAATTAAAAAAAAAGGAAAAAAACTCAAACACACCAGCAAGCACTGTTGAACATCGTCTGAGGAAGAAAAATGTCGTTATCTCAGAATTTATAAGGTTGGCGAAGATTGTATACTCTGACATCTGCTAAGCTGCTTTTTCAATCGAGTATTTCCGAATAATAAGGCACGTATTCAACCCTCGACTGGTTTTATTCTAACCAAGTGAAAACTTCGCTGCTAATTATTCCAGGAGGTTTTATTCTCAAGATTTAACATTAAAATACAAAGCAGGTGTTTTTGTGCTAAGGGTAAACATGGAAAATGAGAGAGATCAAGAGGCTGTGCTGTAAATGAGAGACTAACTTGAAAGGGGCCCAAACAAGAGTTTCAAAATAATTTCCCTGTTTCAGACAAAAGTGACAGTTTCAGTAGAGGAAGTCAACAGAATGAAGGTCTAACCAGTACAGTTTGGAACAGTAAGGCCATCCCAGAGGTAGCATTGGAATAGTGCAAGTTCAAGCATTCTATTATTTGAAACCATAAGAATTTGTCAATTTTTGCACTTATGGTTTATAATTCTTTTTGTTATTTAACACGGGATCGATCCCAAACTGGTATGGACCAGCCTTTCCTTTTACGCTCGGGATCGATCAGCTATCCGTATACCATGGGTGCCAGAGCCTCAGAGAGTCAAAGGATGGAGAACGGGGAAGGAATTACGAAGGAGAATGAAATAGTAAAAGGGAGAGACTCCTTCGCATTTCCTTTCCCCCGTTCTTCATCTTTTGTCTCTCTGAGGCTCTGAGACCCAGGGTACTATCCGTACTAATTTAGGTTCGCCTTCAAGAGCGTTCTAGTTTGGGATCGATCCTGTCTCGTGTAAACGCTTGAAATTGATGGGATCGATCCCATATTGGCACGGATAGGAAACGAGGCTAATGAATTCTTCAGATTGAGATGCTTTGAGCACGGTCTTTGACAATTGGTTAGATCTTGCGCGCCCTCTTCGCCCACAAGATAGAAAATGCAAAGCAAGACGGAGGAAGTTTTCTTATCACGAGTTTTTTGATAAATTTGGCAAACAGACTCCAACCTATGTTTTTACTCTATCGTGATACTCCTTGTTGCTACTTTTCAAATTTGAAGCCATTTCTTTTTCAGCCTATCCAGGATCGTTCCGTGTGAACACAATATATTTTGGGATCGATCACGTGTAAACTCTCTGCGAAATTTTCGGGATCGATCCCAAACCAGATGGATTTTTGATATCATCATTCGGTTTATGTTATTATTCTTCGGAGTAATATCCTCTATATTCACTATTATCATGTAGATACAGTTGAATCCCGGTATAACGAACCCCGGGTATAACGGTATAACGAACTTCCCGGTATAACGAACTTCCCGGTATAACGAATTCCCGGTATAACGAACTTCCCGGTATAACGAGCTTCCCGGTATAACGAACTTCCCGGTAAACTCCTTACAAATTCTCTCTGTATTACGAACCCTGGATATAACGAACTCTCGATATTGCTAAAAAAAATGTTAAGGCCCTTCGTCATAATTACCCTCGATATAACGAACTTTTTATACGATTTTTAATTTTTCATCTTATACAGGGGTTTTACTAAATAAGGAAGGTAAGATGTATCGAGGCTAATCTCCTCCCAAAGGCAGAGGCTTGCTGAAACTCGTAACCTAAAGTGTAATAAAGCTTTGTTTCAGCAAGATTCTCAGGAAATTTATTGGGAATGATATCTTCTAACCCCCCCAGCTAGTCAACCAAATGAGATGGTAACAATATTCCATGAGGTCTTAGAGATGATATTCTTCCCCAGTTAGAGTTATGCGATGTATATACGAAGTATATCACACTATCTTTGAGAGTCACCTACAATGCCTGCCAAAAGTCTTGGAACATTTGCTATAATTTACGTTGTGCACCAGCTGCAACATCCCCTCCCCACTTGTACAATGTTGTGCCACGGAAATATGAATAATCCTACATGTACAAGTGATACATTTTTGCATAGCTATGGTTTTCAGCTAGCGAATCAACATTGTATGAGGGGGAAGGGGGCAACACCCACCTTGTTGACATGGAAATAGCATCGGACACGCGAATTCACAGAAATCTCAGGGTGTTCCAAGGACTTTTGGCAGGCATTGTACGCTACAGATTTGTAGTATCTACGACGGTGGAAGACGAACTAGTAATCTCATGACTGTTGCGTTTTGCTATTTGTTTCTTTTTTTAAATCTTTTGGCCATGTCGCTTGCCATATTATCAAGTATATGTGACAACTAAACAAGGAGGACTCTTTCCTCGATTAGCTCTCCTATTGAGAGAATATTTCTTCGGTAAAAACCCCGTATTACAATTTTACAATAGCCAAAGAATTAATTTGAAAGTGTTGTAATGATTTCTGTTAAAATATAGTATTTAGAATTTTAAATAAAATAAAATAAGATAAAATAAATAAAATAAATTAAAATAAAATAAAATAAAATAAAATAAAATAAAATAAATAAAATAAAATAAAATAAAATAAAATAAAATAAATAAAATAAATAAAATAAATAAATAAAATAAAATAAAATAAAATAAAATAAATAAAATAAAATAAAATAAAATAAAATAAAATAAAATAAATAAAATAAATAAAATAAATTTAGTTTTGAGCAGCATTTCTTCAGCCAAACTTCAAGCACTTAAACGTTTTGAAAACATAGCCTCAATGGCCTAATAAATGGATAAGGCGTTGAGAATCTTACTCTGATTTATTGCTGTGTTATGGTCTATAAAAGTGTAAACAAATTATGCCCTAAAAACTTATGATTATGTTCTAACAAATATGTTCGTTTTCGTATTATATAACGAGGAATTATGGAAATCTCCTTATGCCCAAGCTAAAGCGAATATGGACTTCATTAGTAAAAGTGTATTAAGGCTTGGAATGATACTCCAGTTAATATTAAGGAACTTTCATCACTGTCTGAGCCTTGTTAATTAGTTCAAGCCTTCTCAAGAACGACTCCCTGAAGATCAGGTTTATTTTTCAATTTCTGTATTTATAATTTTAGTTTTAGATTTTTTCAAGTTGGATTTTTCAACATGAATTTTTTACATCCACGAATTGGCTCAAATCATCGTAAAAGAAGAATTATTATTTTTTATCATATCAGGTTTGTCCTATGATGTCTTTAGATAAAGATTACCGCTCTTGAGCTAAAGAAAATCGATATAATTTTTCAGTTGATATTATGTTTTGGCGGTACAATATCGATTTTACATAACAAACAAAATGATAATAGAATAGTAACACAAATTATAAGACTCAGGTATAATGCATAGCCTTATAAAGTTCTCTAAGAGCTTTTGAAAAAAAATTGGATTAACAGATGACACATTCAAAAGAGAGAAACCACGAAGTTTTCAAACCAAACCAATTAAAAACGGGCTGTTCTTTCCAGCTCATGCAAATTTTTCAATATAAGTAAATTATTTTGACTTAAAAAATCACGTCGAAATAACAGAAATGAGGGAAGCGTAGGTAAAATAGTCCCTATTTGCTGGTAGAAAACATCGTTGTTGAAAAACATGTGCTGGCACATTACAGATCAAGAATTTGCGCTAAAAACGTGGATTTCAAGTAGTGTCTTAGCTTCTTATCACAAAAATTATCGAAATTTGTAGAAATCTACGCCACTTCTAACTTTCAAAAATTAATTATTTAAAGCTACCAATGAGTCACACTTTTTTCGTAGAGCTCGTTCTTTGTCTGCTAGCGTTATTGATTAATTTTTGTCAACTCTAGAAATGCCGATCTCATTAACACACATATTTCTGAACAAGTAGTTTTTTCAGAAGGCATTCCCCATTAGTTTTTCTAGATATCATCTTTTACCCAGTATTATTGAATTTTCTGAGGAAAATTCCTCTAAAAACATCCCTTAAATAGCTTGAACCATATTTTCGTTTCCTTTCATGCCAAAGGACTATGCAGATAAATGAGAGATATTTGAGATAAATTCACTTAAGAAAAACTTTAGATCAAAGTTAAATACGCAATAAATTATCTTACCAAAATACAACATTTTTATCATTCAAATGTGTTAGTTGCTACCTTGACGTATTCTTTGGTTTTGTAGGTGACATTTTGTAAAAATCAGTCTTTGTTGTCTTTGCTTGGTATCGAATTGTTCCCTGAAAGAGAAGATTGCTTCCAAATATAAAGAATACTATTGACTTAAAGTACGTACCAAATAGACTACGCACCGCCTTATGCTGTAGTTCTTAGTTGGGGCTAAGATTGCACTACGGTGGTGCTAGGATGTTCTAAGTTGGCGTCAACTGACTAAAGTCTACGATTCTGCATGTTAATAGTACTGCTGCCATCGCTAATGAAAGCATTTTCCCAGAATTGGTTTGAGCAAAACACTTAATTAAATAATTTATCATTATTTTCTTCCATAAAATATTTTCAATATCGTGCCTAAATATCAATCCCTTGAACGTAGTTTCTTGTTTTAGTATTTGTTACTTCCTATTATTCGAAAGTAGTTTTTAGGACACTGTAAAGCTGTGCATAATATCGCCAAGACTCAATGACGACTCGATGGAACTCGAGAGACAAAGCTGTGCTTATCCAGCAGTGATCACAACTCGTGATTCCTGCACTTAGAATTACAGAGCGCGAGTCTTCTCACTGTAAGTGAAGCTTTCATCATGCCAGGGACTTGAACCACAGATTCATGGAACCATAGTCTACAACCCTAACCACTGAGCCGTCCTCAAACATATATTCCTTCCAATGAAACGAAATTCATACTACGATTTCTTACGTATCTTAGACAGATGTGAGATGGCTTATGATTTGATACGATTGAAAGTCATTCTGCAAAGGAACCATCTTTTCTGGTATGAATATAATTGAAAATAAAAATAAGCAGACAGAAAATCATAGGTACAAACTAAAACATACGGAATAAGCGCTGTGTATATAATATATTGTATATGTCATCTTTAGATAAATGAAGTTTTTAAAAAAGTAGCAGGAAATATTAGAAAGAATTAATAGATCACATCAGCAGCCAGTGCCAAATCCATGCTTAATAATGGAATTCGAAAAAGAAAGTTTTTATTCTGAAAAATGATCGCATGAAATTCGTAAAATTTTGATACATAAAAAGAGAGAATGATGATGATGGCTGCGACAATTATGATGTTAGAATTACAAACATACTTTCGTTTTCAATGCATCGCTTGCTTTCTGCAGACTTTCAAACACTTGATCTTCAAAGGTCACTCTTAGTTTTCTTCTTTCAAAATCAGCACTTGAACATCGCGAAGGTGTTTTCAAAATTCCAGCAGAACCTCTTCGTGGGTCATCAAACAAAGATACCATTTGGCATTGAGGTGTGACAACCCTCTCTGTTTCTTTTATATCCTTTCTATTGTCAAAATCTTCTTTGCAAATACCTCCAGTTGCGCCATTTTTCAACACTGTTGTTTCGTTTTTTGGCACCAGATTTTGTTTCCCAGAACAGCTGGATGTCTCTAAGAATCCTTGAATCTCACCTTCATTCGAAGGACTGAACCAAAAACATAAAAAGATACTTAGCATTTGACTTGTATGCCAACAAATAAGCAGAAACTATGAATTAAGAAGATGGTTCTTTATCGCATATTGAAGAAAGAGTTTGCAAAACTGGTGAAGTTACAAACCTGAATTGACTTCAAATCAACTGGCCAAAACTTTGTTCAGCAACTTTTTAAAGACACACAAAGTTATTTTCTACGGAGATTAATCTAACAAAAAGTGTTTGCGAAGAGCCGAGAAATCTTATACAATGTACATGCCAAGAAGAAAGGTAACACAGAGATAGAGAGAGAGCTGAGCAAATGATCAACGTAGAATTCGAAAGGAGAAATAAATAACTGACAAAACTATCATGGACTATTTGGGTGGTAACATATTTCAAGCACTCTGAACACTTTCAATTTAGCCATCAAAAGGCTGCTAATCTGTTCACATAGAGGGCACCATGTGACCGATTTACTACTTTAACTACTTGATAGAGACTAGGGAGTAGGGCTCATTGAAGATAAATCTACTTTTTAGGTTTTTTGTAAATTATACCGTAAACTTTCTTATGCGTAGCAAACAATAGGGAAGCAATTTCATTTCAAACTTCTTCCTTTTAGAATTGCCATGAGAGGAAACCCCCGTAATAAAAAGCAACTGGACATTCTGATGTCAGTAATATGAAATCAAGTTGAAAAGTAATGCTTGACTGGCGATCGAAGGAACTTTTTTAAAATTGGGCTAGGAACGTGAGCAGCCTCAGCAGCTCTGATTATCCAAAAAAAGCCAATGCAAATCTTACCGATCTACTGCATCACAGTGATTTTTCTCAGAAATGCATTTGTTTGTTGTTTCAGATGTTTTTCTGTCTCGCTCTGTTTTGCACTCAATCGGCTTCTCCGTTCTATTTCTACTTTGGGCAACACAAATGCGCCTTTTAAGTTCACTCATTGCGGTTCCAAATCTTTTCTCGTTTCTCATGCTCGATATATTAGATGGCAAACTTGATCTCCTTGTCGAATATCGATTTACAGCTTTTACTGGAGCCTGACTGGAACTTGTTGAAGCACGAGCCTTTGAGTAGACATTTGAAGAAGTCACCATCTTGCCATCTCCTAGGTAAGTAGTGGGAAATAAAAGTAAATTGATTAAAAGTTGTTCTCAGAAATTAAGCAAAAAGCTTGCATTGGCCAACAAATCAAATTGAAGAAAAAAGAATATAAAGAGAGGAATAGCTGCTGTTCAAGATTCAACGTTAAATTTCAATGTCCACATGTTGTAAAGATATAATCTTGCTGTACAAATCATATCCTTCGATCTATTATCCTTCAGATTAATGGGTGAACCATTGAATACCAAACATTCACACACAATTCTAACGACTTACCCATCCTACGATGCTCCACAAGCATCCTTTCTCGATAATCTAACTTCAGAGACTGTCTTCTACCGGATACAGATGGAGACTGAGAACGGGAATATTTTGTAATGCAAGCATTGTCGATACTTCTCGATTCTTTAGTCTTCCCGGCAGAGGCTTTTGAGCTGCACCCATGAAATGAACTAGAGACGTTTTTTGACGAAATGGCGTCAATTTTTTTAGCTAATGACGTCATTCGAAACCCAGCAGCAAAAATCATCTGTTTTGGGTCAGCCGAATGAATGCTAGGCGGTCTGTCAACTTTTTGTCTTTTCGAGGATTTGTCTTCCTCGGGAAATCGTGTGATTTTGCAAAACGGCTCTACACTGTTTGGCATACCTCCGCAAAATATTTGATGTTTTGTTTCTTGGCGTGATATATCTGTTACCTTTGCTTGCCCATCTTTTTTGCTAGTTTCAACAGCCTCTGATTGCAAAAAAGTTTTCACTTCTTTGTATTGGGCGCTTTGGGTATGAGCTTCATTTTGTGGCTTGTACGTTTTCCAGTATCTGTTCACTGGGGTGGGCTGAAAATCAGTAAACTTGAATTTTATATAACAGGGTCCACGCAACTAATTTTAAAGTGGGGTGTGAAGGCTGAAAAAGTAGAGGACCAAGGCTTCTTACCTCTTTTACTGTCGCTTTAAAGTGGGGGGGGGGTGGCCATCCCGGCTCCCTCGGTGGTGCGGCCCTGTAAGGTTGACGCTGAGGCACCCATCTTCAGCACTTAGTAGATTACTCAATATGAAATCTAAATTGTCATAACTGAATAAAGTATAATAACTAGAACACAATTGCACAGTTTGGGCTGGTGCTTCATAAAACATCATGAAAAAGATGAAGAAATATTCGAAACAATCAATTAAACTCGCTAAGCAGTTATATTCCATACATCTAAACATGGATCTCACCTGTCTGATAATTGGGGACTTGTCTCTGTTAAAAGAAAATAATGAAAAGTCAACAAATAATCAAGAGTGCTTCTAAACTGATTTAAACTTTTGATAGATTAAGGAAGCACAAATATAATCAGCTCATTTATTCGTTATTTCTTATATTATTCAATCAAGAGGTTAAAAAGATTGTTTCAAAATCAGTTGCTATCATATTCTAGCCTGCGTCACAGACCATTATCACCAAGTAGGAGAGTGGTCTATGCAAAGGAGGTCAATTTCGTGTTTAGCGATTTTCCCAAGAACTTGAGAAAATTAGCATATTGCATAAATTTATTCGCATAATTATAAATTTATTCGCAACCATTTATGGAGAAATATGAAGTAAAAACTAAATTTTATGGAATGCAAACTAAACACTACACCAGACACTACACAGTTGGAAATGAGGGAATAAGATTGAAGGCAGAAATATCTTAAAGGCGACTGATAAACGTCTTCACAATATTGTATGCCTATTTGACGATTTAATTTGTATGACTTTTCGAAACAATAGACTTATAATAGATTATTCTTAAAATGTTTACAGAACTGAGAATAAAAAGATAAAACAATTCCTAAACAATGTTTTTTAGCTCTCTATAACCAACAAATAGTCAAATTGAAGAAGTTGAAATGTTCCAAAATTGGGTTCAACATCAAACTTGTGGCAAAAATGGTACTATTGAATTTTACTGTATTGTATTGTATTGTATTGTATTGTATTGTATTGTATTGTATTGTATTGTATTGTATTATATTATGTTGCATTGTATTGTATTGTATTGTATTGTATAGTATTGTATTTTATTGTATTGTATTATATTGTGTCGTATTGTATTGTACTCTTTTTTATACTGCATTGTATTGTAATATTTTGTTTGTAGTACACTATTTCTTCGATACTATAAAATACACTATAATATAATATGTTGCTTCGTATTGAAAAGTTATGTTGCATTAAATGGTGAAAGAACAAATGTTTCCCTACCTTCCTTCTAATTTCAAAGCATCTGTAAATTCGACAATTTTCAAACTGAAAATGAATTCAGAGCGACCGAGTCAATTCATAGAAAGTTCTCTTGTGCTGAAAACCAATAATCGTTCTTCTCAAATACGTGAGAATTGCAAGGTTATTGGTTTGAAAAATGCAACAATACTTCACTGTATGTAATAGCAGCATTCATTCAACTGCAGCCATGCAGTACGTGGGCAATATTAAATTTCATTTTAGAAGGCAATTAGCAAATCATATAAGCAGCTATTGGTGGTCCTGAGTTTGAAAATAGCTTTGTACATAGGAAACTAAAGCATTTTGTCTGACACTGATCATCAGAGTATAATACGTCATAACTCAGATCTTTTGTGAAGGTCAATCTAAAGCTGTTGGGAAATCATTCGAGCTTTGAAGTTTATCACAACACCATTGCTATGAATATTTCTTCTTTCAGTGAAATTTAACGCCAAATTTGTTAAAAAGCAAAATCTTCTAACAATTTACAAAACTTACCCAGAAACCTGACTTTTTGCCTTTTCTGACGATGTTGAAGGGCTATCTGGTTAAGAAATTGATTAACTTCAATTCCAAAGCACAGAAAGCGTATCACAAATTTTAGAACAAAATTGTAAAGAATAAAACTCTTGCTAAAATGTTTTCAGTTCCAAAACCCTAACTGGTAGATAACAATACATACACTTCTTCACAGAACAATCGTTGTTTTTCACAAAACTAAAGTTCACCAAAACAGAAGATAGCAAATAGACTTGATTTCGGGTGTAATTCTTCTAAGGACTGTCCTCTCTTAATCTTTTAAACACAAAAATCCAACTAAATATGCAGATCCCCTGAACGTGTTCGAAAAAGCTTTTGGAAATATTTGACACTTACTGCCCCTATATTCAATCGGTTCCTCTTCTACAACCGGGGGAGCGTCAGTACCTCGTTTTGAAAGAGAACTATGATTGGAATCACATTTCTTTCCACTATCCTCATCCGTTATCGAGGTCAGCCTCGTATTGGGAGTTTCAGTTTCAACAATTCTGCCATCTTCTTTGCGGTCAGAAATTTGGTGGCCTAAAGAGGAAGTTGGCCTATGTTTAGCACGGGTTTTGACTTTGGTTTTGTATATCTTCATTGCATCATCTAATAGTAAATTGTAAACAGCACACACAGCATCATGACTTGACGTCTGTACGTGCATTTCAGCATTCGATATGCTTTTGCTACAAAGTACTGCAACACGGTCTATCACCTGCAGAAAGAAGAAGATATTTGCATGAAATACCAATGAATGACAGATAATATCTATACCAAAGTTTGGGCAAAGCATGTACTTGTTTCAATCATAGTCAATAGAAAAGCTTTTCTATTGATTAGGTTACAATGCAAAATAGTCGTAGTCCTAAGAATTCTTCAAAGCATGCTTGACAGCTTGTCTACCAATCTCTACTATGGGGAAAGCTCATGTGACCCCATAAGCATTTTCAATTGGTTCACTGCTTGAGCAAACTGCCAATTTGTTTGGGGTTTATTTTCTATCCTTTCGGCAGTTTTTTTGGATTCACGAATTTGAATACAACATATGGAAAGACACTTAATGAAGTGTCAAACAACAAATATTAAATCATAATTTTAAACATTATTATAACCAAAATTCCATGTTTTTGCTGTACTACCCGCCTTTCAATTTTAAACTCAAGTCTTTTTTAAGCTTTCATTAGTATTTCGGATTTATACCTATGTAAATACAACGATAGGGAGAACTTCTTCAGAAAACAGGGGTATATGGGCAAATTTTTTTTGATTTTTTGTGAATTCGTAAGAACTAACAGAAAGTATTGCCAAGAAGAAAGTCATTGTAGACTGTTTAATCAAGACCAATTCATTAAAGAATGTTCCGAAAGTGCATTATCATAAACCGTGAGAACAATGCGAATCTATCTCACAAAAATAGATCAAGATGTCAGAAAATTCTTAAAAGAGCCACGAGAGACTTTTAGAATTCTGCTAGACCTTTCCAGCCTTAAATTTTCCATTAACTAGACTTTATCTCAAGTAACTAAACTCGTATCTAGGGAGAAAATGTTGTGTCTACACGGAAATGCCCTTGGAAACAGGGAAACAATTAAAAAAGACGGGAGGCCACGAGAAGCGAGCACTGCCTGGGGTCTCCCAGCGTGACAGGTTTGCAAAGAAAGTTCAAAATATACCATTGAAAATATGAAGGTTCCTGGCAAATTGGTATCTACTTTCAAAATAAGATAAATCACGAATGTAACCATACCCTTGCTCGAACTGATTTTGGTATCAAGACTGGTGGCATTTTCACAAGTGGATTCTTCCCGTCCTCCGTAACCCAAGAGTAGTGAACCATCTCTTGAAATGATATTCTTTTGGCTGGGTCTGGTTGTATGAGTTTCGTTAATAGGTGTCTGCAACCTGGTCATCGTGAAAAAAACATAGGTGATAGGTCAGTTTCTATGTTGCTAAAGGTACTAAATAATTGCTATGGTGCTAATCCTCATCAGGTACCATCTTCTATCAGAAGGTTGGCTACCATGACCCTCCAACTATCCCAAAATCTGAGTTTTGGTTTTTTGTCATGGTCATAGATAAAACTAAGGGGCTAATAGGAGAGATGGGCCCCCAGAACCACCTCTATGGTGCTAAAGGCTAGTTTTATTGAAAGCAAAATATATTTTTGTTCCAGAGAATTGCATCAATATAAACCGTTTACTGCATCAACATAAATTTCCATTTTAGGCCGAAAATTTAAAGCTATAGTAATGTTATTGGAAAGGTCTGGCAAAATTTTCAATTAACATTGTTTCATTGAAGTTTAGAGGAAAGGAGGAGAGGCATTTTTGCATTTGTAACAGAAAATAGTGATTATAAACATAAGCATCCGAATGTTTAGCGCTTCTTCCAATTGCATTTCAAACTTATTTTTAGAGGGTAACGAATTCAGAATAAGGATTTGTTTAGCAACTGGATATGGTTGGAAGATGTCAATCGTCTCATCAAAAATCTCACTTCTATTCAATCTGCCTGTGGTTACCACAAAAGTTCAAACTCGATATATTGCGGTTACTGGGTTAGAGAATAAGGGCAAAGGCTGAGTAACTTTCCTGAGAAAATCAACAGTGTTGACAGCGGGAGAGAAAATTGAGACATGTACCAGTCCTGAAGACTTCAAAAGGTCTTTATCTATACAATACTTTAATATTCCATTATAAGTTAATCTAAGGACTGGCGTAAATGGGTTAGGCTGCAAGCCATCTAATGTCAGCTGAAGGGCAGTTATCTTTTAAACTTGGAAAAAGTTTTAAGAACATTTGGATTCTAGTCGCCCTGGAGTCGAGACTGAGATGAATTAGAAAGATCATCAAAAGAGGTAAACACACCCAGTGATGTATAGGAAGGGGGAGTGGGGCTAGATGGAGGGTGGGGGTTGCTCGAGAAAGCTGAGGCTCTTTTGTTAGTGCTAAAAATAACAAATTTATATTGGACAACTCTTCAGTTTTAGTTCTTACTTTTCAGTTTTAGACACCCAAAGCTAAAGATGAAAGCCAAATAAAGAATGATATGAAGAAATTTTATATCGACTTAAACTGGTGGCAAATATTTTCGTTTGACAGAGTAACGTGGATGACTGATAAAAATGGAGCAACACACTCCAAAGAGAACTTGGGGGCAATAGAAGGAGCAGCAAGGAAGAAAAGACAAAGACGCGCGCTCCAAAGAACTGATCGAAGTAGCCTGCAAACTATACTGCGAGTGACATTCAAATTTGCAATAAAAGTTTGAATACACTAAAAGACAGCATGTTGTAGGACAGAATACCCAAACTTAGGTTCAGGGTTATTTTTACTATCCAATGGTACAAGAAGTGCTGCTATCAAGTACTGAGCTTTAAAAGAATATGAAATTGTTGTATTTTCTTAATCTAAATCATAAGACATAAAAATGTTCAACAATTACCGTTATTGTCCTCTGGTTTATCAATTTTATGCCATTCATTATCAATATGATAAACTGTTGTATTTAAAGCTATCATGGAGTGCTTTGAAGAGACTTCCCTGTGTGCCAGAGCCTCAGAGAGTGAAAGTTTCCGTTCTTCATCCTTTGACTCTTGAGGCTCTGGCACCCAGGGTATGAAGAGAGATGAATCTGTTTACTGTTCAATGTTCCTGGTCACTTGAACAATTTTGACTTTCATTCGGCTTTACCTTCACAGAAAATACTTTCAGCAAATCAAACCTTAGTTTATAACTTTTCTATTTATATTCAAATTTCGAAATACAGGAATCCACAGAACGAGAGTTTGGCGTAGAAATACCTGGGGATATCCTGCCAAGATATCTCTCGTGTGCAATTGTCAGTCCCTTTTTTGCGTGATTATAAAGCTCGTCTTTTCCAACAAATCCAGAAAACATCGTGCTAGGCACACAAAAAACAGACTTTTAAACAAAATACGAATGATCAACAACATGTATGCTATTTAAGCAACGGAATGAGGGGAAAATATTAAGGAAAGCGAGAAAGTTTTCGGCAAAAATATGAATATTCTTGTTTGAACAAATTACTTTTTTTGCAATGATAGCAAATGAATTTGCGAGAAATGTAAAATGTTTTTAATTGGCAAATTAAATGCAATATGAAAGTACTAAAAGGATGTCAACACGTAAATATTTATAAAAATCATTATACACTCGAAATTTTGTGAAAGTTTGCTCTATCGTAATAACCGTGTTTACTATTAAGGTTATGCTTCTACTCTAAATACGATGTTGACGGTTAAAGTTAGACTGGAAAATATGACTGCTTTTCATATTAAAATCGTGCAAGTAAACTATAAATATCACATGGAAGACGTTTGCAGTGAATGCAACATTTAATACAAGATATCAAAAGCTAGAAACGCCAATCGTGAACTTAAAGCATATGCGGATGAATCACAGGGGCTGTGAGGGCTGCAGTTTTCCCTAATCAAACGAGATGCATCGCATTTCAGGCTTCATTCGGGCAGTTTATATATAAATGCAGCAATATTACTCGGGCAATATCAATACTAAATCTTCCCCTAAGCGTTTAACCCAGGGGTGGACTCCCATTAAGGCCTGGCAGGGGAGTCCATTTTGAGGGTCTTACAGGTCTTACCAAAAGACTACTAAATGACCCAGTTTCGATAATAACCCAACGGCTTACCTTAGCTTGAACAAGGTTTTATCTTTCCCGAATCAACCACAGTCAATGGCGAAGAAATTTTTTCAAAGAAGGACCAGGCGCGTACAAAGAACTGATGCTACCAATGACATAATTTCTGTCTTTATGCTACCATTTTCAGGGTAATTTTTTTAACATTTTAGCTTTTGCCCTCATTGACCTTGACTGAACCCCCCTGTTAGGCCTTAATGGGAGTAACCCCCGGGGGCGTTTAGAACCATTGTGCCCATGACTAAAAGTTCAACTGGCATAATATAAAATTGGTTGACGACATTCGTTGGTTTCGATGTACATTTTGAGACGATTTAACGACCTATCCTTTCCTTTAGTCTAATCACTAGAAACTGGATAACTAACAGCGCCCTGAAATCAAACATAGTTAGCAATGAAGCAATAAGCAATAAAGTGATTCAGCAATAAAGAAAAAAGTTAATTTGTCCAATCAATATCCGAGTAAATGCAAAAGATAAAATCAATCAGAAGTTCGAATGCAAAAACAACACCAACATTTTTCTTATTTTGCTTTATTTTTGTTGTCGTTTTCAAGCAAATAAGGCTGCGTTTACACGATACCGGATTACTCACGTATCGGATTACTTTTTATATCGGATAGGGGTCCCGTTTACACGACCCCGCATTAATCCGATACGTCTCGTACCACTTTTGCAGAGTGAAATCACTCCGCTGTGAAAGTGGTATGAAAAGTGATCTGATACGTCCCGTACCACATTTCATCTCGTGTAAACGGGTGAATCCGAAACGCTTTCACTCCAGAACCTCGTTCTGAATCTCAAGGAAATTATCATCAACGGATTCTACATCTTCACCCTTCGGTAAAGTTCGCCAAAACTATTTCATCTTGTCATCATTCGACATTACATCTTTTCAATCCCTTCCCTCGATAAGGCATTCACTGGCCTATGCCTTTACCGATTCAGGCTGCAATTCGACTTCTGCCTTCCCCTTCTGCTTACATTATTTTCTTCTATGCCACTGGCCAGCACTCATATTCTATACTAAAGTGACAATTTTTCCCAAGACCTTCCTCTCCTCAGTAGACTAACGAAATTAACCAGAATTTTACATTGCTAAAAATCGAAACAAAAGTAGTGTGCTGCACAGTGAATAGGGGAACGTTGTCGTGTAAACAGAATGAAAACGGTATGAATATCAATCCGGTATCGTGTATATACAGTCTAAACGGTATGCTTTTCATATCGGATAGCTGAGACCAATCCGATATGAAAAGCAATCCGGTATCGTGTAAACGCAGCTTAAAAGATAGCTCGAAATTAAAGACTCGTTGCTGACAATGGGCCTTTATGAGCGTGGCGACGATCCAAACAATGGCAGTAATTATCTACGGATTAACCAAAATTGATTATAGACAGTCTAAAAATGCATCATGGGATGCTTACGTAGCGCAATGGCTCACTGTTAGCAATGAGTCTTTAAATAAACCCTAAGGAACTAACCTAAACGGCAAGTGACCAATCACCATTGCGTATAGAACGACACCCCTGGAAAGGTTATAATCATGAAATAGTCACGTGTTTATCAGTCAGAGAAAAGAATCGACAGAGAGTTGTAGATAAGGATGATGACAAAAGCTCTTTTATAACTAGAATAATAATTTCTAATACAAAAAAATGACGTCATATTAAAATCTGTTTCTTGAATTTTTGATTTTGAAAACATAACTTGAAAGAAAGCAACAAAATAATAAATAAAAATGGCAAAGGCGTAGAATACATGGGAGCTGGGGGCGTCAGTCCCCTGATAAGTTTAACGCATTTGAGGCTCTTTTGAGGCTTCTATCTCAACAAGGCAACAATATTCGGGTGAAACTTGTTTTAAACTCCCCTTCCCCTAAATGTATAACATCAGCTGCGCCCATAATTGATAGGTATAGTGTATAACATCAGCTGCGCCCATACATCTCAGCAAATTTCTTACACATTTAACTGACTTTCTCAATTCCAGGTATAGTTTTTTAAGCTATATAGAACAATCCAAAAAGCTTTTTAGAGATATCTTTATGACGGCAACACTTAAAAACCATATTATTGATCCTATTATTTCCAAATATCAATAAATCTTTTGAAAATGGCAGAAAAGGCAGAAAAAATACTTTTGATAGTCCTCAACGTAGACGAAAATGTACGTCCCGTTTTAGGTCGAAAGTAAATTGAACGAACAACGGTGGATTGATTGGTTCCTTTTTTAACCAATCAGCGATCACAAAGCCCTAAAAGCCTCACAACGTGTTGATATCTTCACATGTTTATCTTAGGACCTTACTTCAAGTTGCGTATTTTGCTTGTTTCTAAGACAATTCAATCAATCATTCAAATATTTCATGTTTATATTCTGGCAATATTATCTTCAAGTATATTTGTATGTAGATATTTTTCAATTTTTTCAATTCAAGCTCTACTTAAGTACTTCTCTCTTATAATGTATCTTTAATATGTCATATCGTATCTATGATTCAGTACATCTCAGTTGTCAATATATATAGCTATCACATACAGAGGACCTAAACGAGTATACCTCAACTCTATCCAAAGAGCTATATGCGTCAGATTTTGGTGACAGGGATGGGATTCGACTTAAAATGAACAATAGCCTTTAAACAAAAAAACAGTACATCAATATTGCTTTTAAAAAGAAAGCTGATGCTTAAATATTACAATAATGTTTAATACAAGAGAGAGATATTAGAATTTTCATTTTGGAACTTACATGCTCCATACATCAACTGAAGGCCCATAAAAGCACCCCTTCTCGAAAAGCTCAGGCGCTGCATAATCGGGAGATCCACAATGTGTTCGAAGCAGCTCACCCTTATTGAATAAATTGCTCAGGCCGAAATCTGTAGGAAGAGTATAGTTGTATAATCAAAGGAAAATTACAGTGACTTTAGTACCAGTTCTGCGACAGTAGACAAAGAGGACTTCGTAATGATGTAAAATACAAGCTATTCATGCCTACAATGAGCTTCAAAGCCAAAGAAGACAAGAGGAAGAAAGAAATTCAGATGAAGAATGAGTACTAACAGCTAATATTTTTAGATGAATAGGTATTTTTGACAAAGTCCCTTTCCGTCTAGATATTTCAGACTAAGACAAAAAAAGGTTAAGGCAAAAAACCAACTCCAACAAGTGTTTTGCAGATCGAGCCCTTCAAACTTTAATATTAAAAATCAATGGAGTTGTGTGTGTTGTACGTCGAGTAAAGAACAAGACTCGATAAAATGAAATGACGACTTTGTACAGAAATTAATATTTAGTATGACGTTTCGAGCATAAGTCTTTATCAAATAAAAAGAATAGAAGGAGAAACGTCTAAGAGAGAATAGAAGAGTAGAACTTAAAGAGTAACTATATGGAACGTACTAGGAAAACTTTTATCCCATTGCGATTGATTTACAGAAAGTTTGCAACCTGGTGCATTCTTGTACATGAACTTCATATGTCACATTTACGTCAGATAAAAGTACCATTTCTGCTTGATCGTAGTTTTGGCTATATTTTAAATTTTGCTAGCATATTGAAAATAACTGTTGCAAACTTACCAAATATTTTGTCAAAGAGGTACTTAGTTCGATGATATCTTTTCTGAGAACAAAACGCTACTTTACTTAAACTGAAAAATTAGAATTAATATGAGCAATAAAATTCATACCAACAATTTTTATAACTGTCTTGGTTTCATCAAGAAGGATGTTGTCCATTTTCAAATCTCTTGAAAATAAAATAAAGTAATATATAATGCAAATCTTTAACTATGTAACTAACTAAGACAAGAGCTGTCGAACATGCTATTCAATGTAACCAAAGGGGTAATTTTGATTGTAAACAAGAAGACATGACAAAATGACACACGAGGCAACAACACGAAACGTAAATAGCCTTAAATAACACTTTGAGCCCTTTGTGTACAATAAACGACGGTGTTGAGGACACGGAACACTATTTTCTGCTTTGCTATAATTATAACATAGTTAAGTGTGATTTCCCCAACAGTGTAAATGCGAAATAATAGCCCCATGGTCTGATGAATCTTTCAAATGAAGATCTGCTAATTATAATCCTCTATGACCATGAAGAATTAACAATCGATAAAAATTAGACAATTACCACTCGAGTAAAATAAGACAATTCTCGCTGCAACTCTAAACGTTTTGAACAATTTGGTGACACAAACAACATATTTCCTCCATCCTCTTTCTAAGAAACAGTTTCTTTGTATACTTTTTCGTTCATTTTCTAATTGTAGTTAATTCAGTCTTATACATTGATTGTAAATTGCCACAGGATTGCCACAGGACATCCACGCCCCCTGTGATATCGTTTGGTAAACTTGTTCATGTTTTATAAAGTTTTAATGAGAATATTAAAAATAACTTGGCCAAATATATGAAAGAAGACTTGGAATTATTTTCAAAATGTTTTTTAATAGATTCTCAAAACTAAAAATCACTTTTACTAACTTGATCGAAGGGGAACGATGAGGTGCCTCCATGTCTTGCTTCAAGTAAGAGCGTACCAAAGTTTTAGAGAGAGTGTTTATTTTATGATTTGCCTCTGTGCCAATTTTATTGTTTGACCAAGGAAGCAAACTTTGGCTTATCAATATTGCTAGATTACTGTAAAATATTGCGAAATTCAAAATGAGATAAACATCTATACACTTATTTTGCCCTACCTGTGGACTACTCCGGATTCATGAAGATGTTTGACTGCTGACAACAGTTGGCGAAAAAACAACCTCGCTTTCATTTCACTTAGCCTCTTAGTCTTCTGCTGTTGAACATATGTGCGCAAGTCTCCTCCTTTGACCAACTCTGTGACTAAGCAATATATTGTATCATATTTTAGTGTCTCATAAAGTTTGATGACATTATCGTGCCGAACCTTCTTCATGATAATGGCTTCGCGAAGGATGTTTCTTTTAACATAATCCTCTTTCACTGTCTTGAGGTTGATTATCTTTATAGCAACCTTTCAAAGAAAAAGCCCGGAAATGTGGTTTCAAAGTTTGATTACATAAAGAAAGACAAGGTAAATTAAATATATATGTAAAATATGTAAATCTGTTTGTCTCATAATTTTTGTCCAAGTTTGTAGACTACCGAAATAAGACTTCGACATAACTATTTCAATACAGGGCCTTTTGTAACAGAGTGACTGCTAAGGGGGTATAGCCCCTCCCATCCCTGCTACAAGCAAAATACTAATAACTCCTTTAAACAAGAGCAATGCTTTTGGTTTTAATGGGGATAAATTCCAAAACTGCTAGATTGAGAGTTGAGGAAATAGTGAAATAGGCCTACTCTCTGGAAAAAGTGCACAATTTTTTAGCATGATGAGGGGTGAAAGAGCTTGCTTAGGGGCGAGGCACCAGGGTGAAAATCACTTTGGATTGAACGTTTACATGTGATAAAATGTGGAACGGAGTACTGCAAATTGATTCTCACTTCATCTCCAAAGCGGAGTGACTTTCACTCTGGTTTTGCAATTCGACGTGCTTCGGATTGCCTCAGCGCCGCATAACTGATGTCCCCTATCCATAGTAAAAATCAATCCGGTCCCAATCCGGTCCCGATCCGGTGTCGTATCTCAGGCCTAAAAAATGTTGCCCGATGACAGAATCACAAATGGGTAATATTTTCTTTCTTGACCTATTCGGCCCTTGTTCTAACGTTCTATACACTAGAGAGCGTCAGGCGAAATCTGAAGTCATGTTGCAAAATGTTTGCTTTTCCAAGGAAGACATCTTCAAACTTTGTACCGCAAAAAAAACGTGTCTTCACAAAAAAACTTTGTACCTCAAAAATACCAACTTTCTTCCCGAATGACCAACTGGATTCTGCACTTTACTTATAATCTTTTGCAAATTGCCCCAATTGTTACTTCTTGTGAAATCAATAAGATACTTAATATCGCTACGAACAAAGTTTCTAGCCTCTGAAAAAGGCAGTACCCATTTCAACTCACAGAATTCCATTGATTGCGCTAAGTAAATTGTCAGTTCCTGGACACTGGGTGTTATCTATCAATTTTTTTAACCTGTCTATCATACATTACTTTAAGTTTACAATTCATCAGTCTTAATCTTAATCTTAATTTTTTCACCCAATTTTGCAAAATGTAACTTCCATTTTTGCAAATATCACAATCGTTTCTTGTAAATATTTACTTTCAATTTGTGAATACGGATCTTTGGTCCATAAAAGTAATTTTATTTACTTAATATAATAATCTGTATTAACATAGAATATCATTGTTATGAACTTGCATACTTAACTTCCCTTATGACTTTTCTCTTAATGTATTCCTTCCTTCTCATAATTATTTGTCGCATAATTATCATATATATTCACCTTCCTATCCAGTTGTTAGTGACAATCAGCTAGATTTCAACTATAAACACAGTTCTCAACCTGTATGTCTGTTTATCTTTGTTGCCAGTTTGTGCTTATTTGATTTGACTTCTAACGGTTTTAATTTCACTGTCTAAATCATGACCAGTTTACAACAGCGACAAAACCCTACCTTTGCTCCTGTCAATTTGTGTTCAGCTAACTCTACCCTTGCAAAATTCCCCTTTCCAAGCGTTCTGCCAAGGAATTTATAATTTCCTATTTGCCTTAACGCTACCTCCTTTCCATCTGACATCTTTAATCGAATATTCTTTTCCATGACTGAAAGTAAACGCTGTACGGGGATGATAACATAAGATATGATTAATGACGTCATAATGATTTAAAGTAATAAACTAATTACGAATGATTGGTTAAAGCAATGAGTTCTCCAACCTGTGCGTAATCCAACTCAATTTCAAATGTTAATTATCAATTCAATTAAATTGGCGACTCGCTAAGAATGAAAAATATGAATCAACAAGATTTAAAAATTCAAAAATTGGATATTACAGAGATGATCGAAAAATTCAAAATGGAGCTCATTGTCAGTGAAACCTCGGTAGCATTGCTGGAGTTTTGGGGTAAGAATTTATAAGACTACGAATAGCAAAAAGTTGGGGGGGGGGGGCAGAACCGGAGGTAATCATACCCAAAAAGTCTTGACAAGTACCAGTTCTAGTTTCATTTGATTATCAATCCACCCTAAATACAATTCTAAGCACTTACAATACAAATGAATGCTAATGCAATATTAAAACTACATCAAGCGTTACAGGACTACAAGTTAAAACATTAAATGATTGCATATAGGGTAGACTGGTTAAGTAGGAGCTCTCTAAATAGGTTATCTAATCGAGGGAGATCTCCCCTCCCTACCCATACAAAGCAAACCTACCCATAAAACACTTAATGAATAAAAAATAAACCAGATGTCAGATGAAACTTATGAGTATATAAAATGAGCTTTTAGTTGAGAGCAAAACACTGAAATAGAACCAGCAACATGCATGAAGAGTACCCTTTTTTACAATGTTAGTGCCCTTTTTTGCTAGCTATAAAATTTCACTGTCACCGTTTTGAACCAGGACTTCGCACCCTTCTTCAAGTTATCAATGTTTCCATGTTGATTATAGATCGAGGATTCCTACTCACAGTCATGATGCGCATGTATCAGTAAATGGGTAAGTGGAGTTGAAAGGGTGTTATTAAGCTTTAACTACAATATAACCTTGTGAGGAAAATACATTGAATCATTACACCAGCCACTCTGAAAAGCGTTCAAAACACAGCTATTTCTTTAAAGATGTTCGATTATTACCACCTTACTCATTGATGTCAAATTAAATAAGGGTTCATAATTAGAGAAGATCCCTGCACGTAGTAGAGCAAAGAGTTTAGCACTGCATATTGAATTATAATGAAAGTCACAACAGAATATATTTTCATTTTCGCTTTCTTTTTATGCCGTTTTCTCTAATTCTCTCACCTTCCCACCTCCCAGCGTTTATATGGAAGAAATTCATCCCACCTCAGTTAAATCCCACTATAATGCAGTGGGATCAACCGAAAGTGGCTTGTGTTCCATTTAAACACAAAACGAAAAACACAAAGGATCCTATAGGATAGTAGGATCTCACCTCTCAGCTCACAGGCTGGAAAGTAGGATTATTTTCTCCATATAAACAGGCCTTAACATTCACTACTTATTTTGGCAACTCACAAAAATCTATGTCACATGACAAACCGACGTCATAGAAATATTGAAAACCGGAACTAGTTTATTTTGTCATTTCTTGGATAAAATATAAATGCACGATATCAGATTTGCTTCTGTTGTATTTTTCCTAAAACCAAGTAGCGATATTTTGATCCTAGGTTAATCACTTAAATCCTTTGAAACATTGTTTATGTTGGGAATAAAAAATGGCTTTAGTTACCATGCCATGTGATAAACATCAAAGAAAGTAAACAAAAGGTCAGTGACACCATAGTGACACCGGGAAGGCAACACGAATTGATCTAACAGCCGCAAAGAGCTATGAAAACAAGGGGAAATGCAATATTTATTTCGTTTCTTCGCGATGGAAAGTATGGTACGCTGGCTAGTTACGCCCAGGCACCACTTCGCAATAGAAAGTGAAGTCTGCACGCAAGAGCAATAAAGGCTCAAATTTTCGAAAAAAGCTTAACCCAGCAAGCCTGAACTCATGTTATAAAAAGTGGTGTAAAATTAGGCTCGTATGGGAGAGCTAATTTTGCTACCTCATTGGCAATCTCATGTAAATTATCCATTGCGTATTTTGAATCTTCAATTACTATTATTTAACATTGTTGGTAAGACGATGTTCTTGTGAAGAATCATATGGTTGTTAATGACAACGATCTAAGGCTTCCTTTATTTGAATGTATTTTTAGTTTATTTCATAACTGTTCATTGAATACCGACGAGCAACTGTGAAAACTCATAAGTCCTTTTCCGTAGCCTGCCAAGCCCCTTTGACAGTTGTAATAACATCTGATCACCAGCGAGTAACCTGATTGGCTGCCCCAATCGCCTGATATTTCTCACATGATTAAAAAACAAATTAAAGGGGAATCAAAGATCTTGCAAGACACTGCATGCAAAGGTTTGGAAGTCGCCTCGAAAAGGGACAGCAGTGAAAATGGGCAAGATTTTACTGTTTCTCTTCGTTACATGCACTTTGGTTCAACTTTCTACGCAGTTTTGGCCCAGTAGGAAAAAAGGTGAGCAGCTAAAGTAGTTCGAGCTGAAAAACTGTCACATGAAATTTATTCAGGTAATAAACAATAGTTAAAAATGCCAGTAAGGTCAGAGTACAATTCCAAAATTTCTTGTGCAATATTACCGTACTAAAAATGCAAGGGCTGTGATACGAAAGGGGAGAGCCTTCTGTCATCAAATTGTCACGATTTCTTTGACAAATAAAGCAAACATGGTCACGGAAGAAATACGAGTAGCCAATAATTTGTGCAACCTCATGTGTTGAATAATTTAGATATATTTAATTTGGCAATACCTTAATAATTAACAATTTAAATCTGGATGATTAAAATATCTAAGACAAGGGCTGATTTCAAAATCTTATCGTCTTATGAAGATTTCTGATGGGGAATGCAAGTGTATTCTGCCATCGCATTAGGGCCTTTAAGCAAAGTTTTTAATATTTTCTTTAAAACAGACGAGAACGTAAGGTGCCTCGACCCAGTCTGCAGAGTGTGGCTTGTGCACACACAAGATTTTTCAGAGGCTTGTCTAATGCACACAAAAACGTAGGGCTGCACACACCGAGGGGCAATTCACTCTTGCAAAAAAAGCGTACGAGCTTTTCCCAAAAACAAAAGGATTTCTGGGGATTTTCAGCTGAAACAATAGGATTTTCACAAAAGGTGGAGGAGATTTTTGTAGAGTTATTTGCCCCTCGGCACACACATTTTTCTGGGTACTGGAAATTTCTAAGGACCGCCCTTTTTGAAACTTTGCTTCCTATCTTGGTCTAAACAACATTTTCTTTGAAATTTTGAAATACTGATGAATTGGGATTTCATCAGAACCATCTGTTTATCACAAGTTAAAAAAAGTTGCTGTCTATAACTAAATTAGAGAACATGTACCACTTTTGCTATGTGCATTTTGTGGGCAGATTTGATTTGATTTGAAAAGCTCTGGCATGCAAATACATTTAATAAAATATGAGGCACAGCTTTTCAGAATTGCTCAATGAAATCTGAAAACTTTGTGAAGTCCAAAATGGGTCTTAGGGAACTCCCCCAAGAAAAAATTTTAAGGGCCACACCTTATAGATTACCGCAGAATGGCCCTGGAGTTATCTCATATCTCAGTATTTTGATCTGATATTTTGAAATAACTTTTGCTTGCCCTCAAGTCATTAATGCCCAGAATTAAAAATCTACAGGCTAGCACAATCTTAAGTTTATTCTCAATTTGCTAAGCGAGATCTAATAAGAAGAGGAATTGCAGGTTGCTAACAAGGGGCATAAAAAGGTCTGAAGCAAAGAAAGTAAGATTGTTTGGGAAACTACAGTGTCTGACTTGTGCTCAAGCATGATTATAGGGTCAAGAATTTTCTCTGTAGAGATCATTCTGTGGACTGAATTATATTAAAATCAGGTGTTCCCTGCGCAGAAAAAAATACTTCACATTTTGGAGTTCGTGTTCTTATAAAATAAAATAGTTCCATCTGACAAAGCTATCCCACGGGCTCATGCGAACTGGCCCTATTGAAAAGTCATTGTTGGTCTTTTGAACTGAGTGCTTGCGGTCATTGTTGATCTTTTGCACTTAATCTTCTATGATTCCATGAAATTCGATTCCATGACGAACTTCGAGGACAAAGTACAACACATTACCAATAATTGTAGCTATAAGGTGAAATTTTCTAGGTTCTCAAAAATTTTATTTTCAATTTTTCAAATATATCAGTTGATACTAATTAAAGATTCGTTGCATTAAAGAACTGAACTTGTTATGGTTGTTCTGTATAACATCGGTGTAAAGATACATGTTAAAGCAAAAACCGAAAGAGCTCCACAAATATAGAGCTCCACAAATATAGGAATTTCAAATGTAACTGGGGCGAGGGGATAAATCCCAGAACTTATTCAAGGGTTTTATAAACAAAAGACAAACCACTATAAACTTTGCATATTTCCTGTTATAAGGACAGACAGGTTCCAGGCCCGTCGGAACCGGGGGGCTGGGGGGGCTGGAGTCCCCCCAATAATTGTCAAACTGTATTATGTTTCCTTTATAGCAGTGTACTGAATGAAAAGGAAAACAATGGGCAGCCCCCCCCCCCCATATGAATTTCGTTCTGACGGCACTGGGATTTCAGAGACAAAAGTAGTTGATCTTTTTCCAAACAAGACAGTTTAGACAAACAAAACAACGGCATAAAACATTAACTAACTTTGTTGCATGAAACATGTTTTATTCGTTTGACCACCATGTTTTACGATGTTCTATGATGTTTTGCAAAATTTGATTGCCATCAAACATTTCGTAAAACATATCTTTTGTTCTCATGTTTGATCAACAATGCTGCGTTTGTTCGACAACCCCTTAAAACATTTGTTTCACTCACGCAAGCTCAGTAGGTTAAAATTCGACAAATACAACGCAGTAACTGTAGGAAGCTGTGCAGCAGTGTTTTGACAGTTGTTTGATTCGTTTGGCCAGGTCATAAAACATTGTCCAACAATGGTGGTACAAAAATGTTTTACAATGTTTAACGGACGTTTTATTTGTTTGGCCGGGCCATTAAGCCAAGGGATTACTTAGTGCCACTGTCAGGAATGTTTTGAATATAACAGTAAAGAAAATAGGAATTCGACGCAAGTTTAACCGATTTTCTTTCTATTTCAGAGGTAAAAAAGGCACTTTGGGATCAACTGAGTAGTAAGTTATTTATATGTTTATTATAATAATCATTTGCAATGCACATTACACAATTATCGCAAATAAAGCGGACAGGCCAAGGAATCATCCCCTTCCTAAAAAAGCCCGAAGCTATCGCTTGAAAACCTTCTTTCAAAAAATTATTGGGACACCTTTATCATATCCTTTTAACATCAAGATAAACCCTCTTTTCTTACTATTTCAGTGCCCCATCCTCCTATTTTTCATTATTTCATATAGCTATATGAAAAACATATTGCCATCCTCTACCCAGTGAATCTTTATTCATTTTTAGAAAAATCGGGTACATGGGCTCCGTTGGCGGGCCAAGGGAAAATTTAACACCCATGACAAAAGATTTTGAAAAAACTCTATTGTTTTGCAAATAAGTGGGGGGGGAGCCAAGGCCCCCCGCCCCCCTTCGTCAGAGGCCCGTGGGTAGATCAAGTTTCAATCAAAGTTTGAGGAGGAGTAATTGCCATTGCTACCTTTGCTAACTCTAACGAATGCAAGAGCAACAGCAAACGGTTTCGTAACTTCTTTGCGCAGCTCACATGACACAAATTATACGCTATTGATTGGATAATACTTAATTGACAGATTGCTCAAGCCACATGTCTGTTAATTGCCTTTAACATAATTCCACGTGACGATATCCCAACTGCATGTTCAATATAAAAAGGGCTGCCCTAAAACCAGTCATATTCCTCTTGATAAATTTGAAATTAAGTCTTTTCTGTCACTTTAAAAATGTTTTATTTACCTTGTAAGTCAAGCTTCCTGGCTTGTTTGGAGGCAGCCAGAAATTGCCAATCACGGTAGACGCAGCTAAAAAGAAATCATGGCGGAAGACTGACAATAAAAAATGCGATGGTAATTAAATATATCTTTCTTATGGTTTTGATATTTTTGACTTTACATTGTGACATAGATTAGAAGCGTTGTTGTCCTAAAATAGATTGAATTACTCTGTAAGTAATTTTTCATAAGGAATAATGCTAAAAACGGTATGTAGAATAATATGCATTGAGTGTGTTACTATGATAAATGTTCAGTAATATCAGTAGAACAGACAGATTTTAGAAATACAAGGATAAAATTCAGAAACAAATTATCCTCGTATGTTTATTATACTCATTGCAATATTCACAGAATCCGGTGGACAGCCTATCCTGCGGTTCTTCCTTCTCACACATTATATTTTAAAAAGGCGGCAATTATGCACATCTACCCTGATCTGTCCAAAGCAACCCTCGTAAATCCCACCTACCGGTTTAAACAAATATCACTTTTTTATTTGAATTTGAAGATAATCACATTGGAGAAAACCCTTTTTAAAAGTGGTGAATTTACTCCAAAACAAAAGAGAGACAAGAGGATACAATTAGTAACAAATAGTAACAAAATAGTTACCAAAAGTAGGCATGGTCGTGATAAGCCTTTTCATGAACTACGGTTATGATTGTACATGAAATGACCAACAGCCTGCATTTGTTGACGCAAGAACCAGACATGCTCCTTCAGGAAAATTCTTCAGTAATAGCTTTAACAGTTGCCGTTTGTTCAAAAAAGCACTTTTTTCTTCACGATAACATCACCAGCATAAAGGCCATACCAGGTCACAGGGTTACTATAATAGAAAATTGTAAAGGTACCATGGTAACTTCTATGTGATTTAATTTGCTGTGAAGATTAGATTAGAAACATACAGCTCTCAATAATGCCCGCAACGTGAGGACCTATAACCCCGACAAACAATGGTAAAATTAGCCTCGGTTATATGCGAGGGTTGCAAAACTCTACATCAAAATAAAAGAATACTCCTCCGCAGTGATCACCTGTTCAAAGACTGCTGTCAACGTGACTTTAACTCGCAAATCCTATAAACATTGCTATGTTATTGATATTTACAGGGCACAAGCTTTTTAGAGGGAATCGTTATCGATATGAATCTGAGTATGGCACAATGTTGCTGTTTGACTCCAATGGTCACATCGCTGGGATGCAAGTAGCGGTAATGCATTCGTTTATCAATATAGAGCTATTGATTAATCACATCAATATTAATAATCCCACTGACAATCCCAATGTACGATAGGCATATCAACATATAAAATGGTTGAGTTTATTTGAGTTTATTATAAAAGTTCGATTGTATTTTTCGATCACAAACTATTTGAAGTTTAATTAGTTTCAAAAAGATGATAAGTAAGACGGAAAGAAGAAAAGTTAGTTTCAACTGAACTCAACCGATGCTTATTCGGGGATAAGGAAAAAATTCTAAACATTCGAACTAACAGGTTTTGATTTGATTGAAACAAATTTTTATAAGAAATATTTGTTCCTTAAAACCTCAAAATTCAAGTTCAAAACTTTGTTGGCGATTCAGATTTGAATGCATTTTTAGGTTTACCCTAAAATATAATGTTTCCCGATAGGTTTTGTGGTTCTCTTTTCAAAATGGATATTAGAGAGCAGACACCGCGCAGCCATTGGGCTGGCAGGGGCTATAGCCCCCTACTTTTTTGTAATGATAGGTTATAAATTTTTAGAAAGTTAAATCTAACGCAACTTTGGAAAGTTTACTCTTATAGATCCCAAGAACTAACAGTTCGTCTTCGCTAGGAACCCTTTTTCGCTAATTTTCTTGGTGTCTTATCTTGTTAAATCAATTTTATAGTAATTGATATTTTCTCTGAATTGGAGAGTTTATAAACTATAAGTGGAAATAAGCAAATATTTTCTAAAAAGGGCCCTTTCCAGCCCACCCACTTTTAGAATGGTGCGAGGTGCCTGTTTGAGAGCTTCAAACGATAGGTGTTAACTGTTTAGTTTAGGAGTGCACAGTCCCTAATAGACACCCCTGCATAGGTTCATGTAGGCACAGACACACTAGCACTAGCCTCACAAATAAATTCATCCATGCAATAAACGGATGAATCGGTGATTACTGGATACTGGTCTGTTATAAAAGTGCTTGATGTTGTATAGCGATTGCTGTGAGTGATTTTTACGCTGTGTGCAATAGGAGGGCAAGATGAACTAAAATCAGTCCTGTTCTACCCACCAAAGCGTAGGTTTATGCTTCTTTGTTCAAAGTGCACATGAAAATTTGTTCCACTATATTACGTCCTGCAATTGAAAAACTAGATAAAAAACTTCTAGATATAACAAAGAAAGGAACTTGTTTTGTCTCTTATATGATAATATGTCCGAATTATTATAATAAGCGTATAATAAAATAAGCATGAGTACATTTGTTGCATTATTCGTCTAATAAAAAGCTCTTATTTTACTAGGTACCAACATCTGTACCCATGGTTGAGAAGAGGAAATACATGCTGCCAATAGAAAATGGCCGATACCATCTGACTGTGTACTTCCAAGACCCAAGTACCATATGCAACGCCCCTAAACGTAGTGACGGAGGTATTGGTGACAAATTTTTTATTCAAGTTGGTGAGACCTGGGAGAAGACGATGAAAGTCCCGATTAATAAAGACGATCTCAAATCAACAATGTGGGTAGAGGGAAAATGTATTACAAATTATGGTGAGTGTAGCATGGTATTAGACAGTAGAATTTGCAGGAATAAAATACGTAAGGGTAGAGATAGTATGAACATGTTTCTCTATAGCATGTAAATTGCTGCAAATCGTCAACAAAAATAACAAAAATACAAATCTACAAATCGATTAAGTATGGGGAAATTCTGACTATTTATTGCTGCGAAAGAGATTAAAAACAAAACAAGAAAGAAAAGACTTCAAGAAAGAAAGTTCAAGAAAGAAACGTCTTTTTTATACGGATTCGTATCGATAGAACTTTCAAAGGAGAAGTAAGCCTTTCCCGTAGCCGCTCCCCAAGAAAAATAATTCAAAGATATTGCCTTCCTGCATGATCTTTTTTAAACATTTTAAAGTTTGCATTTGGAAAACCCAGACCAGCTGCAGCAACATCATAGATAAATGGCTAAAGGCAAGGCTTTGAAATTTTTAAGAAGACACCCATTATGAAAACGTCTTTTCATTTTCGCAGTGATTTCGTTTCTTGAGTCCCACATTTTTAGTTTTAAATATGATCATTATCGAATTTCCTTTTAATTTCTGTATCTTTTAATTATTTGTTAATTTATATATGTTTTTTACCCTTTCAATATTCTTTAATTTTACTTTAGTTCTCTACTCGAAATATCATATCACTGAAAAAGTTATAATGAATTTAAATGAATTAGGTGATTCTTTAAAAAAATAGCCCGCCCCAACTTAGGAAGCAGAGAGTAGCATATTGCATCCTCGTTTATCCGAAGAGCATGGTATGAAATGTCAGAATAACGGTTTGGATAAGCCGGAAGTTCGTATGATCGAGGATAAGATATTGGTAAGATATAAACAAAAGCAAAACATTTAAATGATTCAAAATATCATTTCAGTTTACAATAATTTTCGTGGCATAACGAATGGAATTGGATAGATTATGTCGATTTGCAAGATATTTGCGTTCTATAGTAGGTAGGAAAAGCATGTAAATAAAAAAAGAATTTTGTGTATAGGGCTCAGATAATAACTGACACACACATGCGTTGATCTCACAGATAGAATCACTTTCGAAACTTACTGCATTAAATTTGGACCTCGAATTTGATAAGAGATGAGCTTAGTGTTCTTTAAAATGAAAATATTGTAGGTTCGGATAAACGAGGTTCGGATAAACGAGGTTCAGAAAAAGGAGGATGCATCGTATGGTGGTTCAAAGAGTCAAATCGTAATCAACATTTATCTACTTGTCATTCAAATCCTCTACATATCTTCTATCATGAACTTCTATCAGAAACGGAACACAAACTATCTTTCTTTATTTTAGGTCACTTTTTTTGGTACGATATATCCAAGAAAATGGACTGCGAGAAGTTCTTCCCCGTTTTCCTAACATATTCAAACAAAGGAAAGCTGAATGGATTTGGCTGGACATTGAAGGGCTACTTTGATGATCCTAAATTTGATCATCCCGACCCAAGATGGGCCTCTGTGAGTCAATCTTCTACTAATTGGAGTCTTACTTTACTTTTTTTTCATTCATTTTCTTTAAATATCAATATCATATTTACCTCGTAGACTTAATCTGTTATCAAAATCTGTTAACAAATTTTAGCAGTTTGAAGGATACTATCAGCTACACAAGCAACAGTATATGTAAGCAGTGGTTTAGCGCCATCAGAATGACAAGGGGACTCTTGCGCAAAATGTTGCGAAAACAATAGCAACAGTTGAAGCTTGCCAATTTTAGGCATCAACTAACAACCCCCTACACCCCCACACACACCCCCCACCTGAGGCCCCTGGCTCAAGCACTACATTGCTTTTTGTAAGGGTTCTATTTAAGAATTTCTGTTTGCTTGTCTTTAAAAAAATAAACACTCTCGTTCTAATGAAAGCACAGGAACTTTTATGCCAATGAATGTTATCCTCAACATTTATGCCAATGAATTTAATTTTTTTCATAAATATTTATCATAGAATGACAAAATTAACAACACACAATTTTTTCAGTTTGCCTTCCAATCAAAGAGCATGCCGGACTGCGTAGCAACAGCAACGACAAGAGGATCAACACAGCAAGTGTTCCTTCAAAGTAGCTATTCCAGCTACACTTGCACAAATTTTTGGGGTTAAAGATTTTCTAGAACTCATTGATTTTTTTCTTCTTAAAACTTTATACTTAGTTATGGGAATCTGAAATGAAGTTTGAAAACTCTGTTTTATTTGTGCCTTTTACTTAAATAATTTAGCACTTAAAACAGCTAAATTATATTATTCGGATAAACGGTCAATTATAGCTATTGGTTACAATTAGTTATAACCATGAATTTGCCAGTCACCTTTGCCATCTCGCAGTCTCACAAAATATACTCGATTTTTAACAAGAAGTGTCTATTGACTCGACTACTGAATAGATATCTTTCAAATTTTCAAAGTAGAAGTAGGAAGCGCTCAAGAATTTTCAGAGTTTTAATATATTAATCACAATACAATTTATTTGAAACCATGGAAAGAGAACAAAAAGGCACCAGGAAAACCCCTAAAAGACATCGTTGTGATATCCTTTCCTAAAAGATTTTACCTTTAAAATCTACACCTGTTGGTCTGAAAGAAGGCCTCCATTTTGCATCGCCATTAAACTAGATAAATAAAAATAAATAAAAAATAAACACTTTGGCGAAAAATCTTGATTTGTGAAAAAAAGAAACGCTACAGCCGATTCCCCATCGAATTTAGTCAATCAAAAGTTTTGATGCTTCAGAAGATACATTGCAACGATGCATTCCTTAGATTCCTTAGTAAATTTGTATAGGCAAGTCTTAATGATAGTCAAATCATCGAAGTAAAATAAAGAAAAAAACAGAGTTTCTGACGAGAATGGTGATACTTGTAAACACAACGTTGCGTATTTGGCTTCAACACAGAGAGAGAGAGAGAGAGAGAGAGAGAGAGAGAGAGAGAGAGAGAGAGAGAGAGAGAGAGAGAGAGAGAGAGAGAGAGAGAGAGAGAGAGAGAGAGAGAGGGTGTGTAGCAAGAGAGAGAAAATGTGTTAATAAAAAAGCTGTTTAGAGACCTTTAGCATGTGGTTATATACATAAGCTATTAGCGGACAACAATAACAATTAGTATACGCTTACCTTAAATGGGCTGGACGACGGAAAAGCTGAAGGTCACGGTTTTCTTCTGGCTCTCCAACATTTTCTGTGTTGTTTTCAACACTCCCAGGTAAAAACTCAATACCTGGCAGTTCCTTGACCGGGTAAGTGGGTTCACCTTCTGTAAAAGGTACAGAGCAAGACTTAACATTGTTGTGGTGAACAACAGCATGTTACCATATTTAGACTTAATTTTATAATTGACCCCAGTTCTTTCTAAAATTATGTATGAGCCTACCCAGCGTTTTCCGAATTTCCATGTCTTGGGGGTGATGCAGCCAGACAAACTGGCCTACACGCAGGGGTACCCAGGTAGATTGAGGAGGGCCTGTTTCATGTTGGGTAGATCTACTGAATAGCTGGATTTTTTACTGGCAAACCTAGATCAACCTCAACTGGTGTTCTAGCAACTCTCCAAAATACAAGATCATAGGGACTGAAACCGATGGAATCGTGGCGACTTGTGTTATATGCGAAAACGGCCAGATTAACCCACAGGTCCCGGTCGTCCTTGTGCTTAGACACAAAAGTAGAGAGCATGTCTTGTAATGTACGATTTTGTCTCTCTACGACACCATCACATAGGGGGTGATAAGCTGTTGTGTGAGACTTGTGTGAGACAATGAATTCCTTAATTTGGATGGTCATTCGAGGCCAGTAAAATCGGCTTCTGGCTCGTGATAACGTCCGTTTTACCCCCAAATGGCCAGAAAAAGTGTTACTATGAATACCTATCAATACAGAGGGAAACAGGAATGACAAAAGCATTACTGGGGTAGTTCCCCTCCTTATTAAGATGCTTGACAATAACTCCATTAGTTAGTGAAAAATCATCCCAACAGTGTTAATATGCGTGTAAAGGTGGGTCTTTGAACCAAAAAAATTGGGGAGGTTTAGGTAGCCCAGAAGATTTAGGTAGACCGTAATAGCCATAAAGTTTATGTAAATCCCCCCTCCCCATCTTTGATTACATAATATGTGAACGTACCCAATAGCCAACACATCGATAGTTTTATCCAGTTACAGCCATTCTGACTAGAAAGAACACATGGTAGTGCTCAGCTAATTTTTTTTCAAAGCGCGAGCCGTCAGTTATTGGATATCAGGCACTAGGATTAATTTGCATCAGCCATAAGTCAAAAAACTAATATTGTTAGTCAGAAGTCATTGGTTTCACAAAATTATTAGTCATCAGTCAATTGGCAAATAGTCTGCTAGTTAACTAGTGAAAATCCCTACTACCCCCTCAACAGAAATTGAATTAATTCAAATATTGTGCACTTGCTTGAAAAAATAACAAGTTAACCAAATTACAAGACGTTTTATACTCTGAGGAGTTTCAGACAAAAAAGCTTCTAGTATGTTTAAGAAAATTTCTTTTATCAAAGTCATTTTCAAAGCAAAATATGTTCTTTACAAGGTTTTCAGAAAATCTTGCAGAATTGGCAGATTGGGAAACTTTGCTATCAATCTTAATATTGCTCAACTTAAAGGTGAAGCTAAACTTTTGATGCAAACGTACTTTGGGCAATTGATGATTGTAGTCAATTTTAGTTCTCTGCGAAAATTAGTTGCATTTTGAAAGTTTTCTTGTTTTTGAAAAAAATAACTTGGGGCAGAGGGCGCACCGGGAAATTTCCCGGTGTCCCGGTGGGCCAGTCCGCTTCTGCTTTTAACCCTCTTCAATTCCTAGGGTTAGTTTGCACTTGTCTATGCCCTAAATATCTCAGACGGTTCTTGATGCATAAAGGCAGCACCCCCGGCTAGACCACCAAAATTACTTGATATCTGGTGTTTATAAAAGAAGTACTAATCTTTTTGTTGATGCTACAGTATAAGATCAGAGTGCAGGTTGATTATACAGCAGAAGGCAAGCTAGCAAGATGGCGCTGGGTGCAATCATCGTCTTTATGGTTGCGATAACAGAAACAGTTGGGGGAAGCAGTCAAGCAAACCGTTGTACGTATAAGATTTGTCATTTAATTCAAGTTTCCATAGGTAACAAGAATTTAAGAGGGTGGTTATTTAGAATAGATACATTGGATCTGAAGCAATGAAAAAAAAATCGTCAATGATTTGTATACCATAACTCGATTGATGTTCTCTCTTTTTTTACCAACCAAAATGCATGATTTGGGAGCTATTATGAATTGAAATTGTTTGATACAGACGTCAAGGCACCAATGAGTCCAATACATGCTTAGAGGAAATGCCTGTTAGAGAGAACACGTGTCCTGGGCAACTTCATGATAAGGTTGATTCGCCGATTCATATCTTTGCAGCTTATCGCCAACGCACGTACAAGTATGGGTACAATTTTCTGTATGAGAAGGAAGAACCGCAGGATAGGCTGTCCGCCGGATTCTGTGAATCTTGCAATGAGTGTTGTTATGAAAGATAAAGCCCTGTATGCCGGGGCGAAATATTAGTATATTCTTTAAATTTAATTTATCTTGAAAATTTTATCTCGTGACATTGGATTATCGTCGTCGTATTGCTTTGTTCCTATATATCTTACAATTTTCTGCTTTTGGACAAAAGATGAACGTCTAGACCAAAAGTCGAACTTTGATTCGAACCTGCAAACGTCAACTTTTCAGTCATGGCACTTTCCAACATAAGTGTACCTAGAATACATCCTTGTCAAACCCAGCTAACGTATTTTCATAACAACGATAGAAATGAAAGGTTTTTTCAAATTAAACTACTATGTTTGGTTCCCCTTATTCCAGCATAGCTGTTGTCCTCAACTGTTGTCATTTTATAGTTTTACATAAATTATATAAAAGCATAAAACGCATTATTTATAGAAGCATAATTATAAGCACAAAACGTGTTGTTTGATTGGCTTTTTCAAGATTCTATTGTTGGCTATTCCAGTATCTATGAAAAGCTACACTTCAACTTTCCTTAATCAAGGAAGCCGCGATTGCACATTTTTTTTCTTTTTGTGTTACATAATTAACGAATAACTGTGATAAAAATAGCTAGAATTAGCAATAATTGAAAGAACTGTTCTTAAAGAAAAAAAGTTTTTGGTACCGCAAAAGATACCACGAAATAGCGGGAACATAGCATTGATTACTGAAGTTCATTTCGTCTGACAATCTTCAGAATATTGACGTCGGACAATGACCGAAGGTAAGCGGAAATTTATATCAAGGTGTGGATCGAAAGTAACGTGAGATAAAGAAAGACGCGTTTGATTGGTTAGTTTGTTTTTGTTGTTTTATTTTGTCTGACGTTATAACTTTGAAGGGTGATACATTTCCTCTTTTTCGTGCCATCTTCATGTTCATACAATGTTCAGCACTTGTCTTGTTTGTCTAGACGTTCGTCTTTTGTCCAAAAGCAGCAAATTGTACCCATAGTCATATTCGGAAGCGATAAGCCGCAAAGATAGGAAATGGCGAATCTACCTTATCATGAAGTTGCCCAGGACACGTGTTCTCTCTAACAGGCATTTCCTCTAAGCATGTATTGGACTCACTGGTGCCTTGACCTTTGTGTCAAACATTTTCAATTCATAATAGCGCTCAAACAGCTCCAATGACAGAGTTAGTAAAAAGTAGCTTTACTGCTGCTTAAAAACACAAATGCAAAGGTAAGATAATGTCAGCAAGCATTTCGTTACGGATAAAGTGCGCTTATCTCATAGCACTTTAAAATGACGCCCTTGCTTAGCGACTGTGTTAATAGGTAGCAAGCGACAAACGTGATACGCAACAATGCTTCAATTAAGCTATGTGATAACGACGATGCTTTTCCATCCATAGCGAAGCCAGTGTAATAAAATAGATGAAAGGCAGAAGGAAAACTCCGTTCACGAGAAACGGAGCTGATTCACAACACTTTTGCGATAATAGTAAACGATTGCAGCTAACAGAACTTTGCTTGCCCTGCAAAACGAAAGAAAGGAACGCTCATATCATACCTGTCTATGTTAAAACCTTCACCACTTTCTATAGAAGATTGAAGAAAGCAACAAAAATAGCACGGTACCATGGAAAAGGAAATCACTTTTATTGTGCCTCTTTGTTTGATAGTGAGTGCTTTTCTGCGATTTGCAGAACGTTTTCGAAGAGAGAAAGCTCTCTTTACTGGAATTTCGGTGAATTATAATGAAAGATTCTACGACTAAAAACAAATTAACATCGCCAATTAACATTGCATAGGTTAACGAGATTTTTTGATTTCATAGAATTTTGACCACACTGTCAAAGAGACACGGTGTAAAACTTTAATATCAGCTAAATATATTCTAAAATATGGTCAGTTAGTAAAGGTTGCGAGTTTTGCACATGGGTTACAGTTGTTTTGGCTTGGTTCATAAGATTTAGAACGCAGTGGTTTCATGTACACTGGTTTGATGTGGAAGAATCCTGTGCTTGTTTCGCCATACCTGAAACAGCTTTGAGCAGATTTAATTCATTTCATACATTTAGTGGTATTTATGGTGTTCCTTAAAGAGAATCAACGGACATTTCTCCCATTTTTCTAAAAATAACTTCAAACTCTATTCAATTTGAAATGGCATTAAGCTATATCATAGAACAAATCTGGATACAGTGTTTGACAAGGGGAAATTTTATCATGATTGGTCGCCTATCAATAGATGTGTAGTTTCGCCTATTTTTGTATCCGTTCATTCCCTTTAAGATAATATTTTTCAACTTCAGGAAATTTAATTTAAATTTTATGACGTCATCATTGGGATCATATTTGTGCGTCCAGAAAAGTGGCTTTCCATCTTCTGGGCGAATTTCACAAACGATTAAACTCCTTTTCAGAGAGCAAAAAGCCCTTCAGATATTGAAAGTTACTGGTATGGCTTTAGGGCTATGTATTCCTGGCCTTGTTGAATAACATTGCAAGAAAAACTTTCCCACTAGTTTTCTTATTGGCATAAAAACCTCTACTGCTTACATGTTGATTGTTTGGATCCAAAAACATTTGGTTTTTTTCTCATTTTAGGTATAAATGATTGGGATGCCTTGTCAGGTACGTTTCAGAGTTAGTAAATTTTGAATTCGTATCTTGTTCCAAGAGAAAAAAGCAGTTAAGTGACAAGTGTTAATGAGGTCTCTGTTTATTTTTGATACTGGAAAGTTTTCGAAAAGTAAATTTCACGACACTGAGAAGCTGGACTTATCGAGCAGTGTCCTGGTTCATCCTCGCGATGTGACCACACCTTATGAGTTCAACGCATGGAATAACAGAGGGCTGGAGACTCTCCAAACTCCTCAGGGAAAATTTAAAATCATATCAGGTACTCAAACCACATACCCTTGGAACTGTTGTCAGCGACTCTAACCACTGAGCCATCTGCATAATTTTAGTTCTGCGACTTCGAGACAAACCAACAAAGCTTAAAGAGGACCTGCCAAATCCTCAAATACTGCGATCTAAACTCAGTATTCTTTTTTGTGTAAATATTTCTAACAGCATTCGCTTCAACTGATTCTTTAACAAAATACTTAAAACGAGTCAACCTTGTTCAACTGCAAGGCAAGGAAAGGGCCTTTTAAATCAACCCCATTACTTACTTTATCATAGTGGAAATTTTACAAGCAATTAATTTGTACTTAAATTTAAACAAAAGCAATGTGACTCTGCATGGATAAAATTTCTTTTACCAGTCATGCTCTGCACAACCCGTTAAAAAGAATTGACCAAAGTCGATGCCTTTTTGCCCCAGATAATGGATGACCAGGACTGGTAACCTTGTACGTAAAATTTCTCAGTGAAGAGCAACGACGTACATTGTTATTGGTAGAGGGTTCGAGTCCTGCCCTGGTCTTGTCAGATCTTGTCCCTCATTAAAATTACTCTCGAATTAAATTTTCTCAAATTCTTTTCTACACTAGCACAACCTCGTCAATTCACTTACAGAAAATAGGCAAATGAACCCCTTTGTGCATACATACGATTAAAGCGAAACAACTTTTTTGAACGCCAACGTAAATGCAATTTTCTGAGCTAAGCTGGCACTGGCCACAACACTGACCCATTTCATAAACATTTAACACGAAATTAAGCTCTAGCAGAGAATTGAAAACTTGAAAACCTACATTAGAGATGAGAGACCTCTCAATGTTTACTTATGTACAGATTTTTTCATACACCAAGCTACTCATGATGTTTACATGTAGTTCCCTGTTTCTGGATCCCTTACATTTTCTCTTAATTTCAAGTTTGCAGATCTACAAGAAATACAATAGAAATAATGAAAAAGAAAATAATAGATAAACGAAGGATCTCGACAATTCACTGAAGTACCACTGTTTTGATATGTTCTAGTCAAATTTCCAAATCGGATGAACCTTCCAATAACAATCGAACAAGCAGTAGAGCAAGGATGGGTAAAGAAAGATGCAAGGTCTTGTAAAGGTAATGAATTGGGTCTTCCTGGCTTTTTAGAAATGATTATGATTGATTGATTGATTGATTGATTGATTGATTGATTGATTGATTGATTGATTGATTGATTGATTGATTGGTATGATTGATTGATTGATTGATTGATTGATTGATAAAGGTTGATTACAGTAAACCAAATAGACAGGAAGTAAACCTGGGTAAGATTTTCGTATGATTTTGTTAAGAATTTGCAAAAATTTTGTATGATTTGAATGACAATTTGATAAGATAAAAATAGATTCCAGCTTTGGTATGATCTAGGTATGAATTACCAGTTCACATCTTTTAAAAGCACATTTGATCCATCCCCACTTAACCAACCTCGTACTAGATTAAAAAGAAGCGAAACATAAAACTTACATTGTTTCTCACAAAATTTCATAAATCTAAAAAAAGTCGCTGTCATGCAGTCTCTTCCATTTAATTAGCAATCACAATTTTTTTGCTTAGAACAATTTTTGTTTTGTAGATCATTCTTATTTCGTTGGCAAACGTTGGGAGCTTCCAGGATCAGAAATGCCATACATTCTTTTTGGCGAAAACAACAAATTGGCTGGAATTCAGTCGGTGGTTTGTACTAATTTGCTGGATACGTCAGCATTTCTCATATCTATGATGCTAGTAAAAGCTGAGATATAAAAAAAAGAAAAACGTAGAGACAAATACTAAAAATTGGATTTTGTTGATAAGATACCTCAACGGACATCATGTTAACATTTTAAGAATTTTTGAACCTCTGGTCATTTTATTTAATTTTCATAAAAAAACAATTCACATGTTTGCCAGAACGTCTACCTACTTTGAAACACCTAAGCCACTGGCACTATCTAGCAACATATGGCACTTTAAAGAAACTGACCAGCAAATGTAGAATTTCCAGATCTTACAGTACGGTCAACAAGCCTTGCTCTTTCTTAAAGAATCATTTTGGAAGACCAAAAAGGAATTCGAGACAGAGTATTCTATAGTAAGCCAAAACATTGATTGATTGATTGATTGATTGATTGATTGATTGATTGATTGGTATGATTGATTGATTGATTGATTGATTGATTGATTGATTGATTGATTGATAAAGGTTGATTACAGTAAAGCAAATAGACAGGAAGTAAACCTGGGTAAGATTTTCGTATGATTTTGTTAAGATTTTGCAAACATTTTGTATGATTTGAATGACAATTTCTATAGTAAACCAAAACATCTCAGTTTCGTTAACGCTAAAGTTCAATAAAAACTGCTAAAATATATGGTATAAACTTGAAAACTCACAAAAATGCTGAAAAAAGCTAACTTTTTCACATATAAACAAAAAACAGAATGCCAATATCTAAAATAAAGCTTTTGAAGAAACAAAGATGGTTCTAATATCTAGCTTTCCCAACCTTTTTAAAGTTTCTATTGGGACATTAGACAAATTTTTGTGAAAGTTTGTTAGTTACTGTCAGGACTTTTGTGTACTGCTGATTTTTGGTACAAGAGAAATAATATTTAGTTGTGAAGTGGCTGAAATGACGGCATTTATTGCCAAAACTTTAAAAAATTGTCATGGAAGATTTAATTTACCACTTCATTTTGCGATAGGCCTTCATCACATTGCCAATAATTTTATATATGTTTGGGTATACATTGTAATGAGAAGTTATAATTCGAAAAAAAGTGTGTCAGCTCCGAGAAAAAAGGAACTTTTGGCAGTATGGCTTGGCGATGTTAGCTATCTTGATGCTTATTTCATGCAGTTTCCAAATACAATCGAGGTTCCAAAACACTACAAGGAAATGTTCCAAGAAGAGAATACGAGGTACCATTTAACAGCTTACTTCACTCAGCCAGAAAACATATGCTGGGACAAGGCGCCTTCAGAAAGACACTGCATTGGCAATTCGCTTTACATCCAAGTCGGATCCAATAAGAATCACGTGCTCAAAGTACCATTGCTTCAGCAGAATTTGAAGAACACAAATTGGGTCATTGGCCATTGTTTTAATGGAATGGGTAAGTTACAATTGAAAAACAAAAATAAAAAATCGAGATAGGAAAAATGATTAAATACCATAATAATATGTACAGCAGTGTTAAAAAACCAAGGATGAAATCCGATGCAAATTGTTTGCACTAAATGTTTTTACAAAGGGTTAATAGACGGTGACCCAATTTAACGTTAGCAAGCATACAATTATCAAAATAATTATAGCAAAATTCCAGACTTTGGTCAAAAATTGTTTGAGGCTATGTGACATCTGAGCTGAAGATTTCTCAAGTTTACTGTGCTAGTTTAGTAAATGTAGATTCAATTTATATAGATATATATATTTATACAATTTTTGAAATTGGACTGCATAACCTGTAAGAGCACCATCACAATTTTTTTAAACTTGTTTCAAACCAGTCAAGTGTGTTTTAAACTGGCTGAGATTTCGTTATATGCGCACAGACTTCTTTTTTGGAATTTTGTCTTGATTTAAAGATGCCAAAATAACACCAATTTGTTAGCAAAATTCAAATGTTGGCTTCATCAAGTCAAACATCAAACTAAAACAGTCTTCTAACTAGTCACATTACAACCAATTTTGCTGAGATTTCATGAATTAATCAGGCTATGTGGTAAAAGGTAAACACTCTAAGAAAGTATTATTGTGTCGTCACACTTAAGAACTCTCTTTCTGGCAAATTTTGGAATTTGCCTATCTATTTATAGATCTAAAATACAACACAAAGTTTTTCGATTCTTGCAATAATACTCACCTACAACGGTACATTTAGGAAACCTAAATAATAAGATGGAAGAAACGCAGAATAGGCTGTCCGCTACATTCTCTTAATCTTGCAGTTAGAAATGATATGATACAAGGCAATAGACTAGAAAAATGCAAAATGACGACTAGAATCTAATGTTAAAAAAATAGACTTTTAAAATAAATTACATTTATACTAATATTTCGCCTCAGCATACTAGGCTTCATCAAAGTAAATGTAACGAGATTAATTCCAAAATAAATCAGAATCATCCTTAATTCACTATTGCCATCCCTACATAGGCACGCATTATTGGTACAATGTTACATCATATATGAAGTACGAAGATTTCTTACCGGTTTTCCTCTTGTACAACGATGGCAGACTGAATGGCTTTGGATGGGCAGTGAAAGGCAACACCCCTGGTAACATGTCATATGAGCATCCACCTGCTTATGCAATTGAGGTAAGTCAACTTTAGCCTTAAGTTAAGTAGAATTTGAAGAAAACATATATTATCAGCACCTTTTTTGTGTAATCCTGATACCATTGTTTGCTTGAGTTGCAACAAAATTTTTACCATGTCTTATAACGGTGGTTTTAAAAAAGCAAACATTTTACCACAGATTGTGCCTGACAAAAGTACTTGGAATACCCACCAGTTTTTCATTTCTCATCCCGAATGCTATCACTTCCAACCTTTACACCCAGAACAAAGTTGATAGTTAAAAAAAATCATACAACCCAAATATTTATTATAGCTTCTTCTTTGATTACTCGTCAACCAACAGCGTCTAAAGGGAGAGAGGAAGGGTGGTTGAAATTGACCTTGAAAACTGATGTTAGTATTGCAAGACTTTTGGCAGGCATTAGATTAAGGCCTTTCGTCTGATAATCTTCTGAGTATAAAACATTAGAAAATTGGTCAAAAATTATGCTAGCAATTGAATGAAATAAATTAATGAATGCAGAAAGAAAACAAGCACATGAATGAAAATATAAAAATAAAAAATTTACAAAGAATAAATGAACTAATATGTAATAAAAAAAATTCGCAAATGACATATACAAATAAATAAATAAATAATTAAAACAAAAAATCAATAAAAAATGCAGAAAGAAAACAAGTACATGAATGAAAATATAAAATTAATAAATTTACAAAGAATAAATGAACTGATATATAATAAAAAAATTTGCAAATGACATATACAAAAAAATAAATAAATAATCAAAACAAATAATCAATAAAAAACAATCAATGAAAAATTTAATTAAAAAAATAACATAAGAAATAAATGAATAAATAAATTAAGAAATAAGTGAATAAATCAATACACCAATAGGTTGATAAATGAAGTAATAAACAGATATGTAAGAGTTTAAATTTGTTGATAAAGTATCATTGATTGCATTGCACTTCAAATCTTGAACTCTTAAAAGCATTTGACTAACATTTCTTAGGATATGTCATTTCTTTCAAATGCAAGGAAGGACAATCGCTAATGACGTTGGCCTTGCATTTGTAAGAAATCTAAGTTGAAAAACACACTAGCCTGAAAACTAATATGCATTTAAACTAGTAAGAGACAACGATTGCTTGAAAATTCAACAATTCAACAATCAATCTGTCAATGTAACATTAATCTAAACACAATAACAAGCATTGAAAAGTTTATATAAACATTTGAAACAAATGAGACGAAAGGTGAATTTTAGTATTGAAAATAATGTAATTAGCAATGAAATATTCTAAATTTCTCATTACTTAGAAAAATTGAATGTCATATATGAAAATTATCTGTTTCTTATTCAGAATGATCAAATTGATAAAATGCTTCATAATTACAGCTATAGAAATTAACTCGACGAAAAAAAAAGGCTTAACAGTTAGAAAGATATTACTTGAAAGAGCAATTTATTTTTAAAGAAAGAGTGATTTTGTATAGAAAAAGATTACTTTCAACGAAAATGAAGACAGAACTTTATGATTAATCGCAAACTGTGTGTCTTAAAATTCAAAAACAACGAAAAAATATTGCTACATATCGAAATTATAGGAATTTGGAGTTCCTCACTTTAATAGAATGCTTAGGGTAGGTTTAGCACTAGTCACTGGCAGAACCATTTTGTATGAGAAATGCTATTATCAAGAAGAAGAAATCCGATTGAATAAAGGATAGAAAAACAAAAAATACTTGAGAAATATGGCTTTTCTGATCGAAAGCTGAATCATCCAAACAACGATTTCTCTATTGAAATTAAGCCAAAATATACTAATTGTTGGTGTCTTCTTTGCGTGCTGAAAGAACTAAAGTGAACTTTGCAATATCCTAAACCTTTCTTAAAATTTAGAAAGTTGAAATAAAATGTCTTGCTGGCGTTTTTCATAAAAATGCCAGATTAATGTGTGCCACAGTAGGCCTAAATATTTCCAAGTAGATTTTTTTCGCAAATCTGATTAAGAAAACACAATTAAAGCCTTTTTGGTGTGATTAAAAACTCAGTTTTAATATTTTTTTCTAGCTTTTTTTCAGAGATGCGACGCTTCCAAGATTCATGATCCAATTGAGGCATCGCACGACTCAACATTTTTTCATGCAGTCGGACATAAAGAAATACAACACGTGCTCAATGTTGGGAATGTTTAAGCATTATCGAGGCAATTAGCTACATTTTTCAGACATGTTATTTTGATGTAGTAGCTAATAAAAATGACGCAAATCTTTGCAAGTCTTTCTTGAAAAATTGTATCTCTTAGTTCCAAAGAAAATATACAAAAATTTAAATCAAAAAGTTCAATGCCTCTTAAATTATTTGACCTGTTTAACAACCATAACAAGCAATCCGAATGAGTAGAAGAAAAAGAGCATTCTTCCATCGACTAGCGTAACTTTGTTCATGCAAATTTCAGATGCCAAAAAGAGATAAAATTCAAACAGAAAAAGTAGAGTGCAGAAAATATTTTGGCTCTACGGTTGTGAGACGGAGGAAAATCATCCTACAACGCAGTAGTTTTGAAGAATACCAATGCATAACTACCAACAATATATGATTGTGCTTCAATTCTATTTCTAAGGAATATTTGTACAGAAGAGATAAGGAAAAGTTTGAGGAAGGCGTGTACGTTTAGGGCAAATTTCATTCGGAGGAAGGTTAGGGCATTTTCTGAACATTGCCAAAAAGTTGGCATTACTAAAATGGGGTAGGGTGACTAAGAGCGCAAAAAATTGCCCATTTGTAGCGTCAAGTGGCCTTGCACCGTGTGTGGAAGAAACTAAAAAAATCATTACCTGCTCCAAGGTAAATTGGACCCTTGAAGCTTAAAAAAGACTAAATATTTTGGCTACTCGAGCACTGCTACGATAGGCTTAAACTCTCACATATAAAAACCCCGGTGGAACCGAGAAGGCGAATAAATAGATCATTTAACATTACAACATTTAACATCTAATGAACAAATAGATCATTTAACATGAACCGAGAAGGCCAATAAATAGATCATTTAACATGATCACTAAAGAAGAAATTTCAACTAGGCCCGGTTTTGGTAATTGTTGCATACTTGTTCCCTATGAGAGTAAGAAATATAAGGCTAATCTTTCATACGGCATTTATGAAAGGACCGAGAAATGAGAAGTAAACAGACGCACAAAACAAACAAAATTTCAGATCAACACCATAGGAAACGAGATGAGTTTTCAAAAATGTTTATTTTAGAGAAAAGAATTAAATCGCAACAATAATCTTGTATAAAATTACCCTTTTAGCAAACATTTTTTAAAAGACAATATGTAGCCTACTTCCTATTTTATCAAATCTTAAGCAAAATTCTTATAAATTTTTGTAACTTTTTTTGAAAAGAATTCCAATAAAAGTTCTGTAAAAATTTTTTGTTAGGTTTTGTGGAAAAAAATTAAATCTAGAATGGCAGCTTTTAGTTACTAGTTGGCCATTGAAACACAACGAGTTTAAAATTTATTTTACAAAAATCTACCAAAACATATTGGATATAATTACAAAATCAATTTGCAAATATAAAAATAGCTTTTGTATTACAGTGCTTCTTCATGATTCCTAAAAAATAAAACTGTTGATCAGTTTTAGGACAATTTAGAATGTTTTTATAGCCTTATTTCTTTTATTTTAAAATTCTGAAAATGTTGTATTTGAAATTTTCAAAACAAGATGTAAAAGAAAAGGGCATCAAAATATAATAAATTTGAGACACGATGAGAAATACTTGTTAATTAAACAGATAACTTTATTGTTTTAGCGAAAACTCTCATCAGCATTTCCTTGATTCATCAGTCTAAGATATATTATATGTTAGCTAGAAATAACAGAAATAAATAAATATAAAATCTTGTTGCGGTTATCTTTAGATGAATAATTCTTAAAAACATCTTGATTTCTTATAAAAGACTAAATATTTTGTTTTTTAAATAGTAATAATCAATTAGCAAAGACTAAATAAAAAAAATTTAACATAATCAATAAAGGATAAACTCCAAACTAGGCACTAAAATTTCCCTATAAATAAGATAAAAACTCTGAGATGGAACATTCAAGGTCTGCTATTTGGGTGGCTGAAAAACGGTAACAGCAGTTTATTTTAACTATCCTTTCCTTTATGTACTTTCAGATTAGAAATTTAAATACAAATTTACTTTAACACAAACAACTTTTATGTATTTGCATTATTCTATTAAAACTTAAAAAAAATTTGAATTTCAACTACACTGCTATCAGATCAGATACAAAACAGAATTTTTAATTAACATAAAATTTTGAATATTTTGGAAGACAAATACTGTTCTATGTTTGTGAAACTGAATGAGAAACAATTCTATTGAAATTTGTGCGCATGAAGTAGTGTTAGTTTAGACCTCTCGTGTAATAGCTTTACTTACCATAGATAAACATAGAAAATATCTTCATTTAACTTTCTTTAAGGAATTCAAACTTTCTATAAAATGTGCATCATCAAAAGGAATTTCTTAGAAAATTGCTTTTGATTTTTTGACTTCATTTATACTTTAACAAAAGGATTCAGCCAGTGTGTTAATTTAAATTAATGAATCAAAAAGCATTTAAATTCTATCAAAGGTATGCATATCATGAGAAGGGCATACTTGATTATGAGTCATTTTAAGTCCAGGCTGCACAACACGCATAACAAATAACTGTAAATTAATACGATACACTACTGTGTACAAAATAATTTTTGAACAAAAAAAACAAGAATTTTAGATACTGTAGAAGCTTTTGATAATTGTAATGCAAAGCGATAAAATTTTGTTAGCAACCTAGCGTACAGATGTAGCATAATATGAAACTTAGTTTCAAACGAAATCAAATACTCCCAAACTATACAAATATTCAAAGAAAAATTCTCAGAATTTTCAGTGTCCAATTGTACATGTGATCTTTGCAAGGAATACGTATGCAAAAATCGGTTATATTTGATTCGAATTGAATTTAGCGTTGGTAATTTAAATTAGTTGTTTTAATTAACTTGAGTATAGCTAGAGATTGTACGAACTTTGAATAAAGAACAAAAATGTTTTGCTACATGCACGAATTGACAAAGGAATGTTTAAGTTAAACAATTTTAATTATACGAATTTATTTACACAAGTAATTTTTCACAACAAAAGATGTTTTTGCTTGTTGCCATGGTGTCGTTTGTCAGAGGCTAACGTGATTACTTTTATCTCAATATATTACATAGCTTTGTCGCAAATTGTGATGTCTTAGAAAGCTATCTTTTTTATTCAAAATGATAACAAAATATTATGGCACACGACATGTTTGGTTATCAAAGGAAGATAAATAAAGATATTCAATAGTAAAACGATAGAATCTAAAATTGACTTTGAAACATTTTGAAAGATATGTCAGAAAAAAATGTAATTTATATGACTGATGGGTTTCATGATCTATAAGAATAAGATTAGAACTAAACCTCTTTCCTTAATTATTTTCATTTACCAATATCAGCCAAATTAGGAGGAGCCTGCAATAACCATCTGAAATAAATAGTACCTCATGTTTAAAAGATACAAGGTGCTAATATTTCTACAATATTAGATGATAACCAGAAAAAATATCTTGCTTGATAATATGTTAGAACTGAAATCATTTTTGTTGCTAATGGAACTGGAAACCGATGAAGGTAAAGTCTTAAATGCAATCATGAATCAGAAACTTGTTTATTAATCTTAGGCTTTTATGTCTCGATATAATCAAATAATATTAAATCTACTCAGGGATGTAATAATGTTTCAACTTTGGGTGTTGTGAGAAATAAACAGTTTTAAATATCTAAAGCATTCAAATTTCAAACTTGATTGGAAATTATATTGAAAACCCTCATCAACTTTAAGCTTTATCTTGTCTATTGGAAATGTGGTCAATGGTTGACAAAGCAACACAGTGAAACTGATAACGATTTGATAGCTCAAAGGCACAAATGAAAAAAATTACACAAACAATAACCAACATAATGTTATCAAAAACCAATTTTGCCTTTCAATATTGATGACGTAATTATTACTTGAATGACACCGAGGCAGAGTATGAAAGAGAGAAAGCAAAGAGCTAGGCCTGACTGCTCTTGTTACGAGGCTGTTAGCAAATGAACAGAGCAAGTGGCTTCATTTGGGGCACGTGGAAAGTACGCTAAAATATGGATATATCTACTAGAAACTGGTTTGCCGCCTTGAGAAGAGTTAGTTGCACATTCCCACGAATCTCCCAGTGGCCACAGGAGGCTATTATAGAGAAGAACAATCCAAAAATGAAAACAACTACCCTTTTTAAGTCAGCAAAGGCGAGAACAATAAAGAGCAATTGCTCTTTTCCTTGTTCAACACGAGTGCACCTTCGAGATATAATTTAGCACGCCTTCAAAAGCCAAAACAACATGGAAAGGTGTGCACATGTACAGATATGCCCTCGTGTCGACATAGATGAACAAGAGGGCCTCGTGGAGATTTTGAGAGAATACATAAGACCGCTATTCTAATTGGAAGTGAACGACGTTTAAACACAGTTTTTTGTTCCCCTTCAATAGAATATGTATAAGAGTAACAATGCTGTAAGCATATTTCCAGCTTGTGCATCGTGGCTAAGGATATTTAATTGTTCTTTGCTAATATTTTGATTGGGTTTGTCTGCAATTACAAGTTGAAAGTGTGTATATCTATTGCGCCATACATGTGACTTTTAATCCCCGATTTCTCCGAAACGTTGAAGCTACATATCATTGCTAAAATGTAATTTAATCCATAAGCTGATTGCTCTTAAATTTAAATTAATCTGTCATTAGACTTTCTACCAGTAAACAATGAATGTCTCTCTAAAAATTCAGCAGATAAAAGAAATAAAAACATCAGTTTTTTATCCTTGATTTCAGTGAAATGTCTTCGGTGATAATCAGCGTTTTAGGTTGACAAGCAATTTGACATGCTGGAAAGTTAAATTTGATCATCTCTTTTGCAGAAGCCTGCTCAAGTTCAGTCACACAGTCATGGGTCATGTACAGAGAGCGGCCTGTGTTTGCACCCCTCTTTCTCTCCGAAACTCTCTCCACACAGACACACCCAACAAAACGTCGCTAAGCGATTAGCAGTTTTTGACATTGAATGGAGTTCGTCCAGGGGTCAAATAACTGCTTTTCCTTAATTAATTTCCATGTTGATTCAGAAATCAGTAGAAAAGCCTTTTTGTTTCGGCAATAAAACACCTGACCGTTTCCATTATTCAAAGTGATAGATTAAAAAGTCATTTGCTTTTCAGGGTCCTATAACACCTGGGCTGGCAATGGATAAGCAAAGATCCTATCTCTTAGATATGACCATATACATTCAATCCACTTTGAAAAACGCTAATTATGAAACACGTATCACAGTTAATTCATAATAAGAGAATTAAAGTGTGCTGTTTCATTCCTTTTCTTTGGATTTAAGTCAAATGATGAAAGAATTAAAGTCATATAATAGAGAAAAAATTTCCACAAACTTGAATAAGAAGGACGTGTTTCCCGTTTTAACAGCGAAAAGAACAGTTCTATTCAAATTAATCGATCTCGATTTGCCGAAACGTTTGTCCCTGATAGAGAAATAATTTAACAGTAATTCTTTCAGACAATGACTCCGTCTTTCTTAAGACTTCTGTGGTCTTTTGGCCTAGCATTATTCCCAAGTATGGGCTCCCTAAGCGTCCTCTAAATGTACGATTTCACTTTGAAAATTGAATTGGGAATATATAAAAATGGGCATGGCAAATCGAAATGGTCTTATATGGGTGAATAAAAAAATATGAGCTGTTAACGACTTCCCTTGGAACCCGAGCCAAAAGAATCTTAGGCATTTCAAACTTCGATAACAGATTCATTGCAACCTCTCCTTTTTTTGTTATTATGAGATCATTGATCCTCGTAGCTGTTACACGTAAAAAAGAGGGGCGTATTTTCTACAATCGGTTTATGTTGAAGAGTATGACGTGACTTGTGGTAAAAAATACGATTAACTATAGGAAAAACGTTCAAAGATCTATGATCAAATACGATTATGTATTTTGAGGCTTACTAAAATAACTTTGAGATTAGTACATTAAAAATTGGCTACCATAAAAGAAATGATTTATAAGAGTAGCTACTTGTTGCTATTAAAAGACTTTGATAAACCTTTCGCTGTACCTGTGGCTCTGATTGTCGATAGATGATTGGTTAAAAGGATACTGACTGGTATTCATGAAAGGAAAAAGGGGAAAACGAGGCTTTAAAGAAAAAAGGAATCAAATAGAGAGAAAATTTTTTGACAAAGAAAAATAGTAAAGATCTAAAGGGAACATTTGTTTTGATAAAAACTCTGAGAAGAAACATTCAACGTCTGCTAAATAGGTGGCTTGAAAAAGACGAAAAGTGCTTTCAAAAAGGTCTCTGGAGTGATGAAAGAATTAAGAATAAGGAACTACAGAAATAAGAAAAAAATATCAGAAAATCAGGAAAAATAATATATCAAAAGCTCAAACTGTTGAATCGCAAGTTTGTAGGCTCACAAGGGGCTGATTTTGCCAAGTACCATTTGTTGAAATGTAAATTAAATTTTGAAGTTATAAATTCGGATGTTTCAGGACAGCGTTGGGTCTACGGGTGTTTTGAAGATTCGCGAGAAGCATACAGCGATATCAATAGCTCCAAAACGTTTTGAGTACACTGAAAATCAGATACTGATTGTTCAAAAACGAAAATTGGGTAGGATCACGAGTATAGGAAATGTATATCAAAACTTCATCGATTCAAACAGCGAGTAAGGGAATGACGAGTAGTGGATGCAACTTCTAGCAAAATGATAAAGAAAATGCTCATATACTGATCCATTCTTAAGAATCAAAAGAGGTCTCATATGTTTCTTTGTAAAAAAAATCCTTTTCTTAACTAAATTTATACCTTTATTGGCAGAAACTTAACCTAGCTGTAATAGATTAACAAAGCAGCGATCAAATACCACCCTATTCTATCAATGAATCAAACAGCTACGAAAAGTAAGTCGCGACATTATTTCCTGCTACTCTGCAAACTCACAGCGCCGCTTATCCTTCTTCCTTCCTCGTTCGGATTTTCTCCTTATATTATCTTATTTCCCAATGGGAGGACTGCGTTCAATGAAGTGTATTATAGAAGGAAGATCAAGTGGTTTGCCGTAGGGAATACAAGGCACGAGTCAAATTTTATGTGACGCAATACAAAGTATAGACAGAAGATTCAAACCAAAGCAGGCCTATCGGGTGCCTAAAAGCTTTAACGAAAAAAAGACGTCTAGCGCTGGAAAAGAAAAAGAGCTTAAATGAAGTGATAAAACTGAAAACATTACAAATTACCTTTTATTTAAATGGGGCATATTTTTATTCTCTTGTCAGATATTTCATTCCTCTCAAAGCAGATTGGCATCTGTATACTATTTTAACCGTGGCAAACAATTGTAAATCCGTCTGTTCCTAGAGAAGAAGACCACATCAACACTGTAGCAAGTTAACCATTAAGAGGTTTTATTCATAAAGTGTAATTAGTTTTGAAGATTATGGTAGCAAAGAACCCTTGGCAATTTTTAAAAGTGCTTAAACTGATAACCGCTTAAAGCTTGAGCTTCTTGAAGCTTCAGTCATTTGCTTTCTATTGTGAATCTGCACACTGTATCTATATTAATAAGAATGAACTTGTTTATACTCTCTGTATTTACGAAAAAGTATAGCAAATACCTCTTTTATACGTGGTCATCAAATGTCCTAATGATATACTCACGCCCAGTCTCTACAGTTAACCATGGCTGTGACATTTGCTGATAATTCAGTTGTGATTAGAATAGAACGCGAGAGCTGAAGAAAATGCCTAGCTCTTCCGTGTCACAAACTATTGCAACAAAATCTTCTCGCTGCATCTAAACGCATTTTAACTAATGAAAACTCGATTTTCTACGCGCTTAAATAACTTTTTGTAAAGGAATACACACCTGCGAGTAAATATCCGAGCAAACATTTGGATAACGCTAAATCTCCATGAACGACTTCGGGAAAAAGGCCATGGAAAGGTGAATCTGAAATAAAAGTAGAGTATTAGCAAAGAGACTCTTCTTTTCTATACTTGAAATCTACAATCTTCGGCATAGCTGTTGCAAAAATCACTCAAATATATGACATATATATTTCCATATCTACCTCCCCCCCCCCCAAATCCAAGCGGGGGTTTACGCCCATTTGTAGGGTAATAGCAACATTGAGCTAGGGAGATGAGGATGAAAAACCCAGCATCGACTGTCCACGATTTCAGGTCCAAAACGGTTAATACAGTTTACTGAATATTGGTAAAAAACATTGCAAAAAACGAAACGTGCGCACCCAACAAGTCATAGTACTTCGTGTTAGCATAGTACTTTCGGCAGGAAAAGACTTCTTACATTTGAATACTCTAGTTACTTCTATATGGCTCAATGTGTAACCAAAGAGTAACTTCAGCTGACAATAAAGAATTGTGAAGAGTTGCAGCTATGGAAAAACTGAAATCAACGTTGCCATTAGAAATACAACTTCAAGCATCGAATGGACTAGTGAATCAAGCCTGAGCCTCGACTCAGTTCTAACTAAACCAATCACGAGGTCGGTTTGTCTCGTTTTTGAAATATGTTGGTGCAGTACAAAATAACCATCTGAGAAATGGTCCCCGAACTTCACTGTCACTCCTAACAACGTTTTTATTTGCTTTGGCCTTCTTCATTTTTTACATTTGTTTTCTCAAACATTTGTTTTGATAAAAATCTCGTCGCTGTTCGTAGCCCTCTTTCTTTTGAAACTGAGCAGGCTCCAAACAAAACTTTTTTATAGGTCAGTTGAAATAAAAAACCAAACATTGGAGCGTACAGCTACAATAAATTTCCATACAAAGTTGTAAACTGTACAAAATCTGAAATTCTAAAGCTTGGTTTCCAAAGCTTTCTTACTCAAGTTATAGTTACATTCTGAATTTGAATTTCCTAGAAAATTGCATTCGTCGTATCTTCAGTAATAAGCATTCTATTTGAGCATTTTGGGTTGTTTTCTATCATTGATTTTTCAACTTGGTGAGAGGTTGACAGTTGTTGATTGGTGACAAATGAAAGAACCACTCCGACGCGTCTTTCTTCCTCTCATGTTACTTTCAATGAACATCTCGACATGAATTTTCTACTTTCTTTCTGTCACTATCCGTCATTTACACTCTGAAGAGTGCCGGACGAAAAGTGCTCCAGAACTACCATTCTTCTAACAGGCTGCACGATCTCAAAATAGCAAAGATTTTTCTTGAATTCATTTAAGGCATAACAGTTGTAAGAAAAGTAAGTTGAATATGGGCACATGGCACTAAAGAATATGGGCATATGGCACTAATTTCAGTTCTCAAATTTCTTGACTATCTGAAAGCATATTACTGAGTTCTTCTAAAGTTTACAGAGAAGAATATTATTTTTATAATTGTGGCCATTTCAAAAGTAATCAACTCTTCGCTATTTCTAAAAAGAAGGTATAAGTTCAAACAAACAGAAAAAGAAGACTTTGAAAATAGAGTTTACAGAAGTTAATGTCTATTTTGATTCTTCAATGGCTACAAAGATAGTTCTAACTCTCTTTTTGCCTTTTCAAAAGCAAGAGTGCTTCTTTTGCAATTCCATGATTTGAAAGGAAGCAGTTATAAAGCCAGATAATTTAAAAGAACTGTTGTTGCTTCAAATTTGATTTGTGATAATCATTAAGTGCTTGGCCTAAAACTGCAGTTGTCAGACATTGTTTTTATTACATTCCGAATCGTTAAAGGCAAACTTCCATCAAAACTATAATTAGCAAAGTTAACTTCACCTCTTTCTATACTTAGTCCATCTTCCTTTTCCTTTGATAGATTTCCCTATTGGCCTCTTGGGTATTTTCTTTAACATAACAAACTTAGAAACTAATGAATGTTATATATAGTATTGCAAATAGAATATTTAATATAAATAAAACCAGTCTTTGAAGTTTAAACTAGCCTTTATTAGATTTTTTAAGTTTTTTATACAATATTCGCAGTTTATGATCATATTATTTTTTTATCTTCTTTAAAACTTTTTACAAACTAGCCTTCAATTGATGCTTTCAAATACATCTTAGATGCACGACTTCTTAACAATTAAAAGGTGTAAAAAATTTATCTTTTTACGAAACAAAATCATAAACTTATTTATGGCAAAATCTGTAAACATCTGATATTTATTGTACTGGCTGAGCTGGGCATAAAAATCATACTCGAACTGCAAAAAAATTTTTAAAATAACCAAACAACCAATTGTTTTATTCCTAAAAAGTCTGGTCTTCTTCTCGTGTACAACATGCTTTTAACTTCACATTATTCACCATCTTTTCACATTTTTCTATAAGTTCATTCATTCTCCAGATCTTGAATCATGACACGTATACTTCTGTTTAACGTAGTTCAATCAAAGTCTAAGTAAATAAAGAACAAGATGAAAGAAATATCAAATTATTTTTAGCTAATTTGTTACCTTTTTAAACCATAATTATTTATAATTTTTTCTTAGAATTTTCACTGCTTTCCGGCAGCCTCCTCAGTAAGTATTGAGTTTAGCTGATATAAAATATAATTTTGTCATACAATATACGGGATCTTATAAAATCCTTGGCCTAAAAAGCCAGTGACCAAAAACATGAAACAAGTATCGATTCGTGAATATCAAAAAAAGACAAGACTTTTAAAACTCTAAGATTGTTAGAGTTTTACACACTAACTAGAGGGAACTATTAAAAAAGACAAGCCAAAACAACTTTAAGACATGGTAGCATTTCGTACTTTAAATATTTCGTGCTATCATTGACTGAAAACCCTTTTCACTATACAACATATGATCTCTGTATGCAAACAAACATTTAATTGAACTGTCTATTAACTTTCTTTGTTTTGTAGCATCCGAGTTCCAAAATTACTGAATTTTGCATAGGCTTTGCCTTTCATCTTACATAGGCCCAAATTGTTTACTATAGCAAACATTTTAAAAAGAAAGACTATATTAAAAATTGAAAGAAAAATTTTCAGTTGACTTGATAACGAGTACATGCTCGAAACGTCGTGTTTTTAACAATCAAACTATTATATTTTAATTTTGGTACTATATTTATTTGCTAACTATATTATCGTTATTTTAAAAAGAAGCAGTCATATTGTAATTGGCATAACCATGTAGGAGTGTGACAGATCCAAACATATAGATACATATATATGATCGTGTTTTGTTTATTGTTCTTGTAGAATTCTTGAAATCTACATAAAAAAGATACCTGTTTAAATAGAGGGAACATATAAAACGGATATCGAAGAGCTACTTCTACAAATAGGTAACTAATGACAACGAAGTTACATTATTTGACTAGAAATTCTATTACCTTGAATACAGATGTGTTACTATTCAAATACATTCTTAATTGCATTCTTAATGAATTCTTAATCAAAGGCATTCTTAATGAATTATATATTATGATATCTAAAAGGAAATTTCTTTAAATTCTAGCAAAAGAGGCAACGGTCGCCTGGGCACAAAAAGCTCATGTTTATGTTTCCAGCAAATTAATATAATGCGTTTATTTTTGAAAAAATAGGCTAAAAATTAAGCTTTGGTGAATTTGATTCTAAAACTGGCATTTTAACCTTCGTCTTTATGGTTTGGCCACTGGAGTTTACCCTCATCAAGTTTTTATAGCTGAAACTGATATTAGGCTTAAGAAGACCAACTTTCGTAGCAGTGGATAAAGTTGTGGCCTAGACGTTTTCACAAGAGTCCAGATAAATGCTCATCCTTCTTCTGGCAGAATCTCTCATATATTGAAATACATTTCTTAGAAAGTTGAAAAACAAGGATAGGCATAGTATTCATATCTATTTTGTTGTTATTGGCCTTCCTCATGGTAAAGGACTATTCGATTACCATGCTGTCTCATAAAAGTGCTCAAATTATCATTCTCGTGATCACAGTAATCAAAGTGTTAAATGATAACTGTTCTCAATAATTTTCAAACACTATACTATTTAAAAACCCAAACCAACAGATACAAAGATCTCTGCCAGCTCTTAAAAAAGTTAATATGAAAGTAAACGACCAGTTCACTGCCTTCTCGGAAGCAAGTATTGTGTGTGGTGAGATGCGTGTGTTTTCAGGATTTTCGGTCAAATAGCAGCTTACAACTCTCTTTTCAGGAACCGTGCAATAAAAGAAATCCCAGTATATTTTTAAAATAGCTGCATACAAATTAATTGAAAAATGACTTGAAAATTATAATAGTATGCATTAAGGGAAAAAATTTACATCGACTGAAAGATTCTTTTGAATTTAAAACAAATTTGATTCAAAATTCACTTCCATTTTGTCAAAAGAAGTAGAAGCGTAAAAATGAAAATACTTTTGGATTATGGCTTGCTTTCGATCAATTTTGAGCTTTAAATCTTACGGGTCGATCGGTGAACGCAAATCAAGGTTAGAAGTAAAAACAAAAAATCCCCAACAAGTTTTGCTTTTCGAAACTTCACTGAAATTGGTTTGTATGTAGATGATTTCTTTCAGCTGTTTTGTCCACAAAATACCACTGCCGATCGATTTTCCTGACAGACGTAATAAATGTTTTGTTTGGTGGTCAAATAAAATCCAAAATGGCATGTTGTTTTCGCCTGAGAAGTTGAATATCGATCGTCTATGAAGATGAGGACAAGACGCCATCTATATTATATCGTATTGAAGCTAAAGAGAGATTTTTTATGTATGATTAGCGTTCGTTGGATCTTCTGCATAGCCATTTACTAGATAACTTAAATTTCAAAGTGGAATAGCAGGTATAAATAAATGATGCAGACAAAATCTCAAATAAGCTGAAGTGAAACATTATTTAGTTATAATTCATACTTAAAAAGAAGATTGATGTAAAGAAGAATTATATATCTTTTGATGCGAGAGCAGTTTTGAAGCGATTGGTACTGGGTCAAAATGAGCAAATTTGCTGAAGAAATGACACGCACATCTACTTTCTC